CCTCAAGAAAATCTTCCAGTTCGCTAATTCTCCCTTTAGATGTGTCCAATCTTCTGTATGATTCAAACATTGTAGATTCCCAGTGTTCTTGAATGGGCTTCACATGTGTTCAGGCTGATTCTGGAGGCACCACTGGTCCTTTTCTTACTCGAGAAGTACAAAGATCTTATTGGAGTCAGACTCAAATCTAATTCAAGATGAGAAAACACTCCTCTGACTAGGTTAGAAAACTCCTCTAGTGACTGTTTGGAAGATGGGCCGGAGATATTGGGGAAGCAGAGACTCTACTGATGTACTTGCTGGGGGACTAGACTAAATTACTAAACATATTTAATCAGCCTGTTTGAATATCTGTGTCTGTTGCAACTGTATCTTAAATAGATACCTAGGAGGTGATGACACAACACATGTGTGAATCTGACCCAAGTGCAATGTTTCTGGGGAATGAGGACTTTGGAACCAGGGTGTGAAAGAAGGACATCAGCAGACTGGCTTAATTTCCCTGAATCTCATTTTTCTCATCTGCAAAATGCAAACAAGAATACCCAGCTCCCAGTGTGTCCTTGATCGATGTCTGGCTTTCCATTTTCTGCTACTCCATCCATCACTCGGATGATGTACCTGGTCCTTCCTGTACCTGTATCCCTCTGAGCTAATTTATGCCCAGGACCTTTGTCCTTGCTGTTTCCTCTGCCTAGAACACACTTTCTCAAATCCTATCAGGGCTGGATGCTCTTGCTCAGTTCATTCTTATAGACAGTAAGTTAGACCCTGTTTTCTGTTCTTTCTGCCACTTTCTGCCTTTTGATTGGAGTGTTTAATGCATTTTCACTTAAAGCAATTCCTGATAAGGGAAAATTGGCTTCTGTCATTTTATTCTTTGTTTTCTATATGTCTTCTAACTTTTTTGTCCCTCATTTTCTACAGGATTATCTTCCTTTCTATTTAGTTGATTTTTGTAGTGAAACATTTTAATTCCCATTCCTTTCATTTTGGATATGTTCTATAGCTATTTCACTATGGTTCCTCGGGGATTCCCTGTAATATATGAAAGTGACACCACTCTGATGTGAATCTATAGCAGTCTAACTTCAGTAACATATGAAATGCTGATCCTATTTATCTTCTACCCCAATCCAACCTATGTCACAAAGTTGCATGTATATGTATTGTGTGTTCAATACCATAGACTAAAAATTGGTGGGGTTTTGTTTGTTTTGTTTTTCTCCATTAATCTCTTAGCAGCACTAGCTTTTATAATTGCCATGAATTTGCCTTATCAGGGCTTGCTCTTTTCTTTATCCAGATCTGAATTCTTGTCTAATGTTCTTCAGTTCAACCTTAGGGACTCCCCTCATGCAGGGCAAGTCTAGTGTGGACCAACTCCCTCAGCTCATCTTTATCAGGTACTTTGAATATATGTGTCCCTTTAAAATTCCTGTTGAAACTTTAACCCGAATGCAACAGTATAGACAGATGTGGTGCCTTCAGCAGACAGTTAGGCCATAAAGCTCCATTTTCATGGATATAAGATGTGTACTTTAAGAAAAAAGCTTTTGTCTAGTATGTATAAGGCCCTGATTCAATCCCCAGCACCTCCACGCCCCCCCCCCCCGCCCTCCACAAAAGTACATCTACAAGCTGGGCACAGTGGCATACACCTGTAATCCTAGCTACTTGGGACACTGAGCCAGGAGAATCACATGCTCGAGGCTATCCTTGAGCCTCTTAGTGAGACCTGGCCTCAAAATAAGAATTGCTGGAGATATCATTTCGTGGCAGAGCACTTGTCTAGCATGCTCAAGGCCCTGGTTTTAACTTCAAGTAGAGAAATAAAATAAAAGAACATGGCTTGAGGTAGTGAATTTAGCACTTCTGTCTCTTCTACCTTGTTAGGACACAGCAGCAAAATGCTACATTTGGAGAATGCCTTGCCCCTGGACTTGCTTCTTTTCAGAACTGTGTGTAGTTAATTTCTGTTGTTGATAAAATAATCCAGCACAGTGTTACACTAGCACCAAGGGACCAAGGCATCTGGGAATGGCCATTTCTCTCTCCTATAAAAAGGACACTTTTTCAGGCAATAGGATTCTTGGCTGATAGTTTTTTTTTCCTTCATCACTTTGACTCTATCAACCCACTGCTTTTTGGGTTCCAGGGTTTCTGATGAGAAATCTGATGAGCACCATATGTGGAAATTATGATGAAAGCTCCTTACCTCTGAGCCTCATAGATGTCAATAATGTGCCATAGAGTGACTTCAGGAACAGAGCATTTTGTTACAGTATCATAATGTGAGTGAAGTGCTACCATCTTTTTGACACCAACAATTCCAAGTTGAAAGAAAAAAGAATTGAATACTTGATGGTAGATATGATGATGAGCCCTTTAAAAGCTAAAAGTTATTATTGATTTTCAAACTCAAAATGAGTTGAAGCTTCCTACAGATTTTAATTTCTAAACAAGTAAATATCAGTCTGTATAATTCACTGAAGCCAAAAACTTCTGAAGTCTTTTCTTATTTTTATTATTAAAGTGGAAAAGGAGCCAGGAGCAGTGGTGCATGCCTGTAATCCCAGGGGCTCAGGAGGCTGAGACAGGAGGACTGCAAGTTCAAGGCCAGTCTCAGCAACTTAGCAAGGCCCTGTCTCAAAATAAAAAATAAAAAGGCCTGGGAATGTCATTCAGTGATAAAGCATCCCTGGGTTTAATCCCCAGTAGCAATAAAAATAAAAATAAAATGGAAAATATCCTGGAGGCCAAAAAGGGAGACAACCACTGTGGGTTACATTCAACTATGACTGGGCATTTCTTGCTCTGATGTCCCAAGGAGCCAGTGTGAGGGAGTTTCAAATACTGCTTATGTAAGGCCCTGGTTTCTTCTATTTTTGTTGTTGTTGTTTGTTTGTCCACAGTATAAAGCGAGGTTGATTGGTGACCCGCAGGACTCAGATGAGTTAACTCATTTGGTTCTTGGGTGATTTTGGTATTTGAATTTGGTTTATCAATTATGAGTTTATTTTTTGACTTCAGCTTTTTATTTTGTTTGGGGGTTGTGTTTTTGTTATTACTAATTTTTTTAGCTAGCATCCTAAGTTTCTGTTGCTGCTTAGGATGTATAGTGGGAGTGGTCAGAGCAGTGAGGTTGTAACAGTGTGGCAGGGCCTCTCAGCTGGTTCTTCCCATGAGAGTACACTCACAAACCATTATAGTGTCCTGAGGGACTCTGAGCAGAGCAGCTTTGCCAGGTGAAACTGGCCTGTCAGATCCTCACCAGGACAGAGGTGGCCATGAAGTCCTGCCAAAGGTGGAGCAGAACTTCCCATCGTCACATCTGAAGTGGACATAATGGAGACTGTGGGACACCCAACTATGATCCAACTGTTCCATGTCATTGAATCCACTGAAAACATCTGCTTCAGAATGGAGCATGCTGGTGGGGGCAGCTACTGCACCACACCTTGGAGGCTGGTAAGATGCATGAGGAGGAGCCCATGAGAATGTTCGGGTAGATCACATTCACCATGCACTATTGCCATGAGAGGGACATCGTGCACAGAGATCTGAAGCTGGCAAACATCTGGTGGACACAAAAGAAACATTAAGCTCTAAGACTTCAGTCCAGGTGGTAAGTCCATGACTGGGCAGAAGCTGGACATGTTCTCTAGAACTCTCCTACATTGTGCCCCAGAAATCTTCTGGCAGGAAGAATACAATGTCCCATGGTGAATGTCAACAGCCCGAGTGTCATTCTGTACTTTATGGTCACACAGTGTCTCCATTTGAAGGGAACCACCTCTTTTCAGCTGAAGGAGCAGGTCTTGCATGCAAAGGATGACATTCCCTCTCATATGTCCACTCAAATGCAAAGTGTCATCAGTCAGTTACCTACTGTGAAACGCACACAGAGGCCCATGGTAGCCCAAATCATGGGACACCATGATTGGACCAGGGTGAGCAGTATTTACTGACTCATTCAAACCAGCCACTCCTCAACCATCTGGACCGCTCAATGAAGATCATGTTTAGCTTAGGTTATGACCTACATGACACCTGGATAACTTTGGTAAACAGAAAACCAGTGAGGTGACAGCTGCTTATCTGATGCTCCAGCACCAGAACCCAGGAAGCAGGCTGCATGTCCCAAGCTAAGCTCGTGCATCCAGAGGTTGGGCCTTACCTGCCCCCATGCAGATCCTCCTGTCTTTCCTCTCTCCCCAGGAGGAGCCCCAGTGAGCCTGCCCTTCACACAGCTCCCTTCTTGTCCACAGTCATCAGCTGCCTGAGGAGGACAAGCTGTCAGGACAAAAGGGTGGCAGAAGAGCCAGACTGCCTGCCATTCTTCTCTGCCACCTTCAGGCAAGGACTCCACTCCCAGTATGGCCCCCAGGATGTCCCTAACCTACCCCCAGCTCCTGACAATCATCAGTAGGTGGGATGCAGAGAGTAGCAAGTCCCCCAAGGTTACCTTATCAGAAGAAAGCTCCCTCTCCATGGGAAAGCCCCATGGTGAGGCTGCAGCCTGTACCCAGGACAACACTAAGGGCTGGAAGGGGGTAACTAGGAGGATTGCCACCTGCACTCTATGAAAATGTTACTGCACACCATCTTGCTGCATGCTGGCCCAAAATACAGCCCCCAGATTCAGAAACAAAGTGGTTCCAAAGAAATTGAACAGCTGAGACACAGAAACAAGTAGATAGAGCATTCTAGCATTTTATTTCTTATTTTTAATATTTTTTTGTAGTTGTAGAGGATAGAATACCTTTAATTTATTTATTTATCTTTTTTTGTGGTGCTGAGAATCAAACCCAGGGCCCCACATGTGCTAGGCAAGCACTCTAACCACTGAGCTACGACCCCAGCCCCATCATTTAATTTTACATATGCTTTTATTAATGTCATTTTCAGTTAACACAGCATGACTATATACATTAATGAGGTACAATGTGATGTTTAGATCATTAAGTCCATTTCGCACGTCTCTGTACATTTTAAGCGTACAGAGGACCCAAGCTCTGGATCCTGATGTCACAGTGTGGATGGTGGCCAGGCTTGGATGCAAACAGCTGCAGGAGGCAGTGTACACACAGCCTCAGTCTTCTTCACATGGATTCCTGTCATGAGGGCATCGGTGCTGTCATGGCCCCCCCTTCCCCTATCTGGGAGAGACATCAGAGACTTTTTCCTGGGATACTTTCTGCCTTCCCTGCTCGTCTCTGTCCTTTCTCCCAGGTCTGTGATAGCAGAGATGGTTCTTAATAAATTTCTGTTTTTCATAACCCTTATAATAAAATTTATGTTCCTGAAAGATGCAAAGAGAGAGAGAACCATGGCTCCAAGAGGTTGATTTCCCCGGTTGCACAATGCCAGAACATTCACACCTAGGGCCAGGCACATGACCATGGTACCTTGCTTCTCTAGGGTACCACACGCCTGCCGACCACTTTGTATGGCGGTACTTGGTCCACAGAGACTTTTCCATGGAAGGGTGTCCAGGGCCAGTGGCCACTTTGGTCTCCATGACTCATCCAGCAGCCAGCAGTCCATTGTGTTTCCTCTTCACTATTTTCCTTATTGAAAAGTAGAAACTGTGGTCACTAAGTGCTTTCAAATGGAATTGCTCAGGAAAACAGACTTTCATGAAAGTCACGGCCCTTAAAAAAAGCTAACAAAAACTCACTTGCCTTTAGAAATCAGAGAGGATGGAGGATAGGAGAGCGAAAGAGCAAGAGAGAGAGAGTAAGGGTGAGATGCTGTTGTTGTGACCTGAGCAGCAAACTGCAATATCCTTGATCACCAAGAATAGGCTGCTGGATAAAAGAGAATAAAATCATGGCATTTGCAAGTAAATGGATGCAGTTGGAGAAGGTAATGCTAAGTCAAGTTAGCCAATCCCAAAAAACCAAATGCCAAATGTTTTCTCTGACAATAAGGAGGCTGATTCATAGTGGGGTAGGGAGGGGGAGCATGGGAGGAATAGACAAACTCTAGATAGGGCAAAGGAGTGAAAGGGTAAGGGAGGGGGTATGGGGGTAGAAAAGATGGTGGAATGGAATGGACACCATTATCCAAAGTACATGCATGTACACAAATTGGTGTGAATATACTTTGTATACAACCAGAGATATGAAAAATTGTGCTCTATTATGTGTAATAAGAATTCTAATTCATTCTGCTGTCATATATAAATCAAAAAATTAATTTAAAAAATAGGCTGCTGGGATAGAAGAAATTCAGATGGCTTGAGTTCAATTCTGATTCCACCACTTACTTGATAAGTGCATCTTTGTGCAAAGTTATTCAACTTCTCTGGACATCAGTTTCCTCATCTGTGCCAGGAATAATAACAGATTCATAAGATTGCTACAAATTTAGTATAATAAATCATGGAAAGCAGTACATAATAAATGCTAAATAAACATTAGGTAGTAACTAAATTAAAGCAATTTGGGGAAGTGGTAGGTTGAACATTGAATCAGCTGCCTTGGGCTACTATACCAATTATCACAAACTGAGCATCTTAAAACAATAAAGTTACATTCTGCCACAGTTCTGGAGCTGAGAAGTCTGAAATCAAGGTGTTACTAGCACCATGCTCTGGAGGCTTCCCGCTTTCCAGGAGAATCCTTCCTTGCCTGTACCTGAGCTGGTGACTACCAGCTTTCCATGCGGCTATGTCATTCCCATCACTGCCTCCATTTCCATATGACCTTCTCTGTGTATCTTCTCCTTCTTTTTCTTCCAAGCACACTTGTCATTGGATTTAGGACACACCTGGGTAATCCAGGATGATCTCACCACAAGATTCTTAATTACATCTACAAAGACACTTTTTTTCTGAACGAGGTCACATTCACAAGGTCTGGGTATCAGAACATGGACATATCTTTGTAGAGGCTGGCATTCAACCTACCACAGGTATTAAGCACATCTTTCCACTTCTATTTTAACTATTTTCATTCCACTCTTGGCTGGGAACCCCATGTCCTTGGGCTGTTTTCTAAATACGGATAGTTTTTCCTTGGCTCAAGAAATATTTATGAATGCCCACTGTGCATTAGGCTCAGTGCCATGGAGGATATAAAAATAAAACCTCGTGGACCACTAACTAATGCAAGACTGAAATGATGGAGGCCACCAGAGAAGTACAAATGAAGGCCTTCAGGGATCACTTGAAAAGGAAGGTAGTAGCCAAACCAGGTGATGGGAACAAATGGACATGTAGGAATTGGAAAATAACATTCAAAAACAAGAATGACAGGAGCAAAAGTAGAGCCGTGGGAAGGCATGGGGTATGCATTGAAAATAGGAAACTGTTCTTGTTTAAAAACAGGCCAGCCAACAGTGACCTGTCTAGTCCATCATCTGTTTTTGTGTACCTCAAACTAAAAATAGTCTTGTACTTTTCAAATGGCTTGTGGGGAAACAAATGTTGAAAAATAATTTGCGGCATGTGAAAAATCATCTGAGATTTAAGTTTCAAGGTAACTAAAGTTTTCTCGAAACACAGCCACCCTGATCGTTTCCATGTTGCACGTGGCAGCATTCATACAACAGAGACAAAGCCGAGGGATTGCAACAGTCAGCACTGGCTGAAGAACCTAAAATACTGACAGAAAAGTCTGCCAGCTCCTGCTTTAGAAAAAGCCCAAGAAGCATAAAGAAAAATAGTGGAAGAAGATGTACCTTGCTAACCAACCCAGGTTGTTGACTTTGCCTAGCTTTTCCATCCATCTAGATTTACCTGTTCTAAAAATCTCACCTTTACAAGGCCTTATTTGGTTATTTGCTAGGTAACCTGATAGCTAATTTTGCAATCCTCTTTAAGCTGTGATTGGATCATGATGTTGAATGTACAACTTGTTACTCCTCCTCGGTAACATCATTTAGGAGAACCCAAGCCAAAGAATTGCATGCCTGCGGTGTGGTTCAGAAGATAGTTGCAAAGATGAGCCTTTTTATCACCTTCCTTGTCTCACTGTATAGGCAGTCGATATTTCTTCCTACCAGAAACAAACCTAGTTGGTTGTTAGTTTTGTTATTACTCTTTCAATTAGTTAATAGGGAGTCATGTACCCAGGAGAGAGGGGAGGACTGGCAGGAATTCCCTTACAATAACTGCCAACCACTGAGAGCGGAGTCTCTATGCACCCTTTAGCTAACAAAGCGGCTCTGGGTAGTCACCATTAAGATGGAGATTTTTTTCATGAAGGACAGAACAGCTACCTAATGGATTGGAGCTGAAGTTAGAAATTCTGTATGATCTCAAACTTTAGGAAAGGGAAGAGCTGCCAAGGGGAGCAGGTTAAAATGCACATTCTCTGGTCTCACACCCAGAGAATCTATGGGTCTCCAGCAGAATTCAGGAGTTCAAAAAGAGGAGGGAAAAGATGGGTCCAAACTGTACCCCAAAAAGCATTCATGATATTTTTTGTTCTTTACTTGCTCCAAGGGTTTCCGGGTTGTTAAAATAATAGACAATATAAGTAGGCAGGAGCATCATTTTGAATTTTTTAAACATTTTCTCATTCTATTTAAATTTATTCCTAGAGCGTAAACATGAACCAGACCCTAGTCTAAATAAGAAATGATCTGAGAGAAGATCTGGTTCTTTCAAATCAGAGTAAAATGGAAATTAGAAAGGGAACTCTGGATAGAAGGCAACTGATTCCAATAATTTTTCTGTCCCTGGTATAGGACTGGGGAACAAGAGTGAGCCTACCACCAGTAGAACCATCGTGTTCCTTCTCCATTTCCTATTAAGGGAAACATTAAAATTTATGAAGTTTCCTTCTAGTAGTGAAAAGGAATTCTCTTCATTGGCATTGGTTCATTTTTCTGGAGATTTCTTTTCCATATGTTATGCTTGAATTGTGTCTCCTCCAAATTTATAACAGAGACCTATCTTCCAGTACTAAAGAATGTCACTGTATTTGGGAACAGGGATCTGGTTGTCGGGTGAACTCTAATCCAATATGACTGTTGTCCTAATAAGAAGAGGAAATCAGGACACAGACATACACAGAGAGCACCACGAGAGACACAGGGAGAAGACAACCATCTATGTCTGGAGCGAGATCCCAAATGAACCAAACCTGTGGCCCCTTGATCTTGGCCTTCTAACCTCTACAACTATGGAAAAATAAATTTCTGCTGCCCAAGGCACCCAGTCTGTGGGACTCTGTTATGGCAGCCCTAACAAACTAATATGCCACACATCAGGGTTTATATATGAGTGGAGCTAGCATGTCTTTTCTTGGCCTGATTAAATACCCTCTCCCCCCACATGCATTTCATTTTGCTTGCTGACTGTACCAACACTGAGGTTTTTGTTTGTTTATTTAAAATATCTGTTTTTAAAGGTTTTTATCCATTAGTTTAGCAATTGTACCTCCAGGAATTTTCTATAAAAAGGAAATTGTCATACAAAAGTATAAAGCTTCATGCATAAAGCTTTGCAACCCACCAATACATCTCATTTTTCCAATTAAAAAATGACATATTACATTACTTTTATGTAAACCCCAAATACTAAATGTCAGGTGAAATTTTTTTAATAATTTGAAAATTGGTAAGTAAAAAAGGAGACCCCCCCTTACATTTATTCAGAATCCCACTCCTTGGAGATAACTATGAGTGTATCATGCACATATGGTTATAAAAATAAACACACTTACCCATGTATTTCTGAAAATAGAAAGGGAAGAGCAGTTATTTCCAATATTGAAAATTTTCTCACTATATCATGAACATTTTCCTGTGTTTATTCACTTTCCCTGTTTATTCAGGTTAATGCCACATAACTCCCACATCAACCTGCAGGAACACTACCTCTCCTTCCCTTACTCTGCTGATGGCCTTTTGCAAGCAAATCCAGTGGGTTTGCCTCTCAGTGAGTGAAAAGCCCATCAGCACAACCAGGAGATAAGAGAGCAAAGAGAAGTTTATTGCTTCCCCAAGTAAGGAGAGCACTGGGGATCATTCTGGAAGCAGTGTGTCCCCAGCAAACAAAGCAAGGGGTTTTTATTTGAGAAACACAAACATATTCACGTGGGATGGATTCATCATCACATGTAGAGGCAAGCACGTTCTTGAGCATCCCCAGTTCACCATCCTGCCTTCCTAAGCATCACATGTTCAAAAAAAAAAAAAAAAAGCAGTTAGAAATGCCCCTTGGTGGAGAATATAGTATTATAATGAGCAAAGTTCACATCTAGGTCACCTAGAGGGGTGGGGCAGGAAGCAAGGTTAGTTGGTACAGAGTTCACGGCTAGGTCGCCTTGTAAGTGTCTCTGGTGGGGCTTATCTGTAACAAAACACAACTTTAGAGGTAGGCTTATGGTTATTTAAAGGTTATTAAGAATGATGGCACTAGAGTCAACTGTCTGGGTTTGAGTCCCTGTGTAGTTGCTGTTGTAATAAATGACCACACACTCAGTAGCTCATAACAACACAAATTTATTGAAGTAGCACTCTAATGGCCGAGAGTCCTACAATTGGCCTAGTGTGTAGCTCAGTGGTAGAGCACCTGGCCTAGTGCACGCAAGGCTCTGGGTTCTACACGTAGCACTACAGAAAAAGAGAAGGAGCAAGAAAGGAAGAAAAAAATCCTGAAGTCAAGAAGTGTTCCTTCTGGAAGCTCCAGAGAGTCAGTTTCCTAGCCTTTTCCAGAATCTAGAGGCTGCCTACATTCCTTGGCTCATGGCCCCTTTCTTATTGCTCAATGTCTACAGCATAGCCTCTGTCCCTGTCTCTCTTTCTGCTTTCATCATCTTATCTCTGTCTCTGACCCTGACCTTGGTGTTTCCATCTTATTGATAGTGAGATGTGGAAAGGTGTGAGTTCTTTGTCTCAGGGATATGAAGAATAAGACCCATGGACAACAGAGGGGTAGAACAAAGTAACCATTTATTTTTGAAACAGAAAGGAAAGTGAGCTCCCACAGGAGAAGAGTCCTGAGTGGGTTGCAGCAGAACTGCTGCTGTCTATGGGTTTATATGGTGTTGCTGGGGGTGACCTTTAAAGCTATTGGCTAATGACTTTTAGAGAGGGGAGTTTCTTTGTCTAATCAGAGTGAGACACTCAGTGATCATGTGCCTCCTGCCCAACCATAATGTTGATTATATGCTTGGTCACATGTTGTATGGCTCATCAGACACTTTGTACATGGAATTGTTGCAATCAAGGTTCCCACCCTGTCTGCCTACCATATTTCTGATTCCTGCTCTCAATGGCATTGGGCGGACTCTGATCATTCAGGATAATATTCTCATCTTAAAACCCTTAACTTAATTACATCTACAAAGTCCCTTTTTCCATGTAAGATAATTTTCCATGTTACCATTTTTATAAGTGATTTTCATGTAAGGTAATATTTACAAATTCTGAAGATTAAGAGGTAGATGTCTTGGGGTGCCATTATTCCACATACCACATCTGGAAATGCCATCTTGTTAGCAAATTATGCCTCATCTCAACACCTACTGAAAAGGACAGAGTGATGGTCCCTACTCAGGAAGTTGCTATGACGATCTGGTGAGTCCATACAAGGGAGTGGTACTTGGAACATAGTATATGTGCAGGAGTGTTAAAACTATGTAGTTATCTGCTTGCCTTGTTTGCCCTATACTAAACTGCTAGTTCTTTGAAGAAAAACAAATAGAATTTTATATATTTGTATATTTCAGGGCTTGGCACCAGGTCTGGGACATAATAGGTACTCAATATATGTTCGTCAAATTGAATTGTTCCAGTTAAGAGACTACTATTTGCACAGTAAAAAAAGGACAGATAATTGGAATATTATATATTATGCTGTCAAATAATTTTTAAAAAGCAAAATAAAATATGCCTATACAATCACAGCTATTTTAACAATACAGAACTAACAACTATGCTTAAATAGATAGACCCGGAAGAAATATGTCTAAACATTAACACTTTAATAACAGTGGCCTTAGACTGGCAAAATGATGGGGGGGGGCGGTCTCCTCCCATTTTTTGCTTTTGGATTTTCTCTAATGAGCATATTTATTTATTAAATGTAATATTTTTATATTTTATTTTCACATACCCATATTGTTCCTGTTAGAAATACCAAGGTGCTTCAAGAAATCAAACATGTATTCAAAAGTGGGTAAGAAAGGCAAAATTTTACTTCTGGCAGAGGGGCCTGCTACTGGAACCTGGCTAGCAAGCACACCTAGGCAGGCAGCCCCTGGTTTATATACCTAAGGCAGCATTGCCTTTTGTCCTGATTGGAGGACTCAGGGGTACAATCTACATGACTGGCCAATTTTAAATTTAAGGCAGGCAAAAGGGAAGGGCTATAATTAAAATGACTACACTTAGATCCAATTAAGGCTGAATACTATATTCTGAAAATGGACCACCAGACTTTCTATTTCTCACACTCTTGTTCACTAAACATGAGAGGCGGCATGATGCATTGAGTCAACTCAGGCTCTGACTTACTGTCTGGGTTACAGTTTTGAGTCTAGCACTTATATGCTGGGTAAACTGAGGCCAGCTGGTATTGTGGATGCTTTTGTCATTTTCTGGGCTGCAGTGGGGGCCAGGAGGGTAAATGCACACAAAGTGCCCAGCATGTCATGTGGCAAACATGGGCACTGAATATGCATTAGCCATATTTATCATGGTTATTATTGCTAAGAGGTTAATGCTGTTGAACAATCGTATGAAGAGTTACAAAGAGACATTTATTTGGAAAAAGAAATACAAAATTGGAAATAAGGTCAACTGCTTGGATCATGAATTATTTCATTTTCAACTCTTTTCAAGTAAGAATAAACCCAATCTGATAATACAAAGGCATTTTTCAAATATTCTGTTTTTAGCAATGGAATTTCCCCTCCTCCCCCCAAAATCTCTTGTAAATCCCCCAGATATAAAACAGATCAAAACAACTGCTCTGGTAAAAATAGGGGTCAGGCCATGTGTTCTGAGCACCACGTCATCCTCACAGATCTGAAGCTTCTCAGAGAATAATCTGGAAACTACTGTCTGTATACAAACCTAAGTGGTTCAGGAATTGAAAATGTCCCAACTTCTTGGAACAGGGACACTGTGTTGCTAGCACCCTATGGTGGTTTGAGGCAGCAGTCAGCAGAGAAGGGCGCATGAGGAGCAGCTTTATCCAAGCTCCTAAACGACTGGGTGCAGTGTTTGTACACATCTCCACCCTGTTCCTCAGGAGCTATGACCTTATTGGAGCTGGAACTGCACAAAGGGATTGTCCTCCAATGCTTGGGCCTCTTGACGACCCCTCTGTTTACCCATCCCTCAGCAGGTGGCAGCTGCACAGTCAGTCCCTTTTGATTTCCATGGCTCAGGAGTAGTGAGTTAAGACCTGAGCTAAATAAACATATCATTTGGCACTGGCAGGATTCCTGATAGCCCGGGCCAGGCGAGGTTTAAGGAGGATTAGGTTTAGATTAGGAGAGGGATGGAGTTATTCACACCCCCACTGCACCCCCTCTGTAGTTTCTTAAGTGTCTTAGGGTTTTGTAAGAGGAGAGTGGACAGACAGCCTCAGCTCCAGTTGCTCCAGAAATAAAAGTGGTGGGCTTGGTGTTCTTTTCTAGAAGGTCTGCTGTGTGCCTCTGAGCCTGGTTTCAGCTCTAAGTGTTGAGGATTCTTGGGAATTGGCTGAAGGCTCTAGATTTTTGCTCTAGAGAATTACACCCCCCACACATACTCACACAAACACAGAGAGACCATTTTACTCTCTGTGAACCTCTCAGGATGGAGGGTGTGTCAGCACTGTACGCTCACCCCTGGGAGGCTGCACTGTCCCCCCAGGTGAGCCAGGAGGGTACCCTACCTGGCTGTCCTCCCAGAGCGGCTCCTCAGTGACTAGGGCCATGCTGGAGGGACCTTGCTGTCACAATGCCGGGTTCCCCTAGCAGTCTGGCTTTGGAGCAGCTCGCTGGGGGCTCTGGCAGTAGTTCTTGTTTATTACACAAGGTCTTGCGTCACTCCCTGGCGACAGCTTGCAAACCGAAGCTATTTCACTTCCCAGTGACAAACAGGTTAGAGAAGAGAGGGAAGGAAACAAAACACAGCGCGACAGACACCTTCTGAAGCCACCATTTCTCCTCAGGATCCCTGGAAAAATCATCTTTTCACCCCAATGTCCTCCAGCTCTGGTTTTGCTTCTGGGTTCCTTGGGCTTATTTCTGCCAGACCTCGAGAGCAAGAAGCTGGCCAGGTGTCTTCTTCCTCCTTGTCCTGACCTCTCAGTGGGATTTTCTACTTTTTTTTTTTTTTTAAGAAGCATGAGGCTAGCACTTTCCCTCCCCAATTAAAAAGTGTTCTCATCCTGGCTGACTTTTCTGGAAAAAACTGCAATGTTATAATATAAAGGAGAAAAGGAGGCAGGGGCAAGTATTAGGGAAAGCTAGATGTATTTTTCACTTCTGTGAACATCTGTCCACCTCTCATCTTTACCACACAAAAATCCTGGCTCAGAACCCTTGCAGCAGAGTTGTGAGACCCTGGAGTGCCCGGTGTATCACCCACTTCTCCAATAGTGAGCAAGATGTTTAATCTCTTTAAGCCTCACTTTTAAGCCTCAGTTTCCCCCCTGGATTAAAATGGTAACAGCTCTGTAAGGTATTGGTGAGAATTCAATGAGAACATGGGCCAACTTGTTAGGAGTCCTCTGACTCCAAATGAACACTTGGGAATTGTTTATTATTAATATATTTTAAAATTTTTTATTAGTTATTGATGGACCTTTATTTATTTATTTATATGTAGTACTGAGAATCAAACCCAGTGCCTCACACATGCTAGGCAAGCGTTCTACCACTGAGCCACAACCCAGGACCTTAGTATTAATATTATAGGCATTTCTTATTCCGCAGTGGAACATGATCTTTATTGTAGAAAATGCCACCTGGTGTCACAATGGTCTGTATCTTTGTCCCTTAAATCTCCCTGTGGAACCCTAATCACTTATGTGATGGTCTTAGGAGGTGGGTCCTTTGGGAGATGATGGGACATAAGGGTGGAGCCCTCACGAATGAGATTGGTGCCTTTTATATTAAGAGTCCCCAGATGGGGGCTGGGATGTGGCTCAAGCGGTAACGCGCTCGCCTGGCATGCACGGGGCATGTGGTTCGATCCTCAGCACCACATAAAATAAAATAAAGATGTTGTGTCCACTGAAAAATAAATATTAAAAAATTTTCTCTCTCTTTTTTTTAAAAAGAGTCCCTAAATGGATGGATCTAGAGACTATCATGCTAAGTGAATAAGCCAATCCTCCCAAACCATAGGTCAGATGTTTTCTCTGATATGTGAAAGCTAACCCACAATAAGTGGGGGGAGGGGAAGAACAGAAGTTCAGTGGAGTAGACAAAAGGGAATCAAGGGAAGGGAGTGGGGACAGGGAAAGAAAAAGTGGAATGAATCTGACATAACTTTCCTATGCACAAATACAAATACGCACTACTAGATAAGAATCTACTGGCCGTGATGGGGTTGTGGCTCAGTGGTAGAGCAACTTGCCTACCTTTTCTTGAGTTCCTTTGTTTGACCAAAGAAAAATACTCATGGAGGACATGAGAAAGCCAAGTCCTCAGAAAAACTGCTAACTGAACTAAAAGCAGTTTTAAAATGTGTTTGTAGAAAGCAATGAAAATCAATTTAGCTTTAAGCAAAATAGAACAGCCTAAAAAAGATCAAAGAAAAACAAAACAGACTCAGACTTCCAAGATATGAAATTAGATGGGAAGTACGTAGTAGTAATAGGACTAGACACTACAAGAGAGAAAACAGCTAGTGATAAGAACATCAGGAAATTGGTCAGATGGCAAGAAAAAGGATGCCACTTTTCAGCTCCTGCAGCACTGAAGAAGTAAGATCAATTTTATGGGTTTGGTCATGGTTTCAGTGTCCCTCAAGGGTTCAGATGTTGGGAGCTTAGTCCCTAGTATGGTGGTGGTAATATTAAGAATTGGGGACTAGTGAGAAGTTCTAAGACTAGCCCAGTCCCCTTGCTCTGGCTTCCCATGGGTTCCTCCCTCTCCCACCTCTTCCTGCCTTTGTGATGCCATCTGCCAAGTGGTGATGTAGTAAGGGGCCCCCACCAGAGACAAGCCCTTTATGGTTCAAACTTTCAGCATCCAAAACTATGAGCTAAATAAACACATCATCTTTGTAAGTACTTAGTCTCAGGTTATTTCATTTTAATAATGAAAAATGGACTAATATAGAAATATTTTTGAAGCTTTTATCATAAAGTGATATTTTTTCATCAGTATTTATTAGTCTTTTAATTTCTTCAAAAGTAACTGTAAAAACTAATTTCAAATCATGAATAAATTCTTTCAGGGAAAATCAGTTCAATTTTGAGTAACTAAAAATTTAGACTCTTCTATTTAAATAAGAGGATTAAACTAATAAGACAGGCCAAGAGAGGAACTGAATTTATATTCTAGATATTTCTACTTGGAAGGAACTTTTGAACTTTATCATCTAATCAGGTCTCTTGTCTCTAATCAGATAAATACTGTGCAAAATCCTAGGAATTTTCAGAACTTGAATTTATATGCCATCACATGAATCTCTTCCAACAAAAGAAAAATACAGACTTATAGATAATCAGCACAAATGACTTAGAAAAAAACAGGCTGCAGATACTGGGTAAAGATGAAGTTAATGGATATTCATAATTCATTAGTTTTCATTTTATACTGAAGCAATAAATAACTGTACTTGTGACATTTTATAAAGAATCGAGTCACGGTGGAGTTTTTGCATTGTGACTTGCCCCTCTTATGAAAAAATAGGTGTTCTACCTGGCCAGATCCATGCAGCTGTCGCTAAGATTGGTGGATGAGTTGAAGTACTCTCTGCTGGCAGCCAAAACCAAGTCAACACTTTTCTCGTAACTGACCCTGTACTGGATTTTTCCTTTCTGGGCCACACTGGCTGCAGGATTTACTGACCAAGCACTGCAGTGCATCATTTGACCAGCTAGGTGGATGTTCTCAAGGCGACTGGTGCACAGAAGGCTTTCTGTAAATATCTGGGAAGGAAAAAAACACAGGAATTAGTGATAGACAAGGCAGACTCATTTTTAACAAAATGAAGGCTCTGAAATCCAAATGAAACAAAAACACATTCAACCACATCCACTGGTTGTATAACACTGTAGAGGTACAAAATAACAATAAATTATATCCTTCAAAACCGGCTAATTTCACTTGAATAAAAAGAAATTCATCTTTTAGGACGATTAAAGAATAATTTCACTGAACCAAAACAAAAGCATATAATTTTAAGGTGTTAGAAGTATTCAAAGTTCATATTCATTAAAAAGAGCATCTAATAGATATTACTCCCCTACCCTTAACCAGGGTCCTTCTGTTAAACTATAATCACTTCAATTTTTAAAAGGAAGTCTTTGAGTATGATATACATAACTTATAATTGGTTAAACCATCTGAATTCAGTCTCACAAACTAAACAGACAAGCTACAAGTGTTATATTTAACCTATTGATTAAAATTATGATATACCACATAGCACAGATTTTTTTCAACCTGCATATTAAAAAATATTTCAAGCTGAACGCAGTGGCACACGCCTATAATCCCAGCAGTTCAGGAGGCCAAGACAGAGGATCACGACTTCAAAGCCAGCCTCAGCAAAAAGCAAGGTGCTAAGCAACTCAGACCCTGTCTCTAAATAAAATACAAAATAGTGCTGGGGATGTGGCTCAGTGGTTGAGTACCCCTGAGTTCACTCCTTGGAACTCCCCCACCCCCCCAAAAAAAAAATACTTCAATAAAAAGACACTGATAGAAAGTGTTCATGCAAATATCATTATATTCTAGGAGGCAACTAACAGTATCAATTAATAAAAGTAATAAATTAATTGAGCTTACATACATACTATATAAAGTATTAATGTGATCCTTTTAAAGCCTACACTAATGATGTGATCTATAGGGCTGGGGTTGTGGCTCAGTGGCAGAGCACTTGCCTGGCACATGTGAGGCATTGGGTTCGATTCTCAGCACCACATAAAAGTAAACAAAATAAAGATATTGTGCCCATGTATGACTAAAAAAAAAATTTTTAACTTTTAAGGAAAACTAATAATGTGATCTATAATTAGCACAAGAACTTCCCCAAGAATGTTCTTCCCTAGCATTCCACAGCTGGATGAAGATAGAAGAGAAACAGAAAAGATAAATATATATATATATATATATATATATTTTTTTTTTTTTTTCATGGAGAAGAGTTTCCTCATAATTAAGATCAAGTTTTCACAGTATTCCCTTGTTATCACTTTACAAGAAGCATTTTTGACCAGGCCTTTATCGAGATGTCTGGTAAGAAAAAAGTCACTAATGTCTAAGAAGTATCTTCTATAAAACAAATATTATATAGAAAGCAAATCAATGAACAGTCCTCATCGCTTCTTCCATCTGACTGACCAAAACAGCTTCCTCCAATCATGGACCAGTTTCTCTATACCTCTGGTTTATTCAAGCAAGCCATAAAGACTCAAGGCAAAAGCTGAAAAACTCAAATTATTTAATCCTAAAACTTAAAGTCTTGCTAAAATGAACAGTATGGATTTCTGTTCTACAGTCTATAAGTAAATCTTTATGTAACATTTTCAAAGTTACACCACTGAGGTTTCAAATTACTTTCCAAGGACAGCAAAATCTAATAACTGAAAGTCAGTAAGACAATATAGCATAGTTTAAAGGTACAAAAATGATATTTAAAACTTCTAAGTTTATCAAATCTATACAATGTCTTCTAGAATCTTCATAATGTTTCAAATGTTTTCTCAACAGAGAGACACTCAAATAGATATCATTAAGATGTCAAGCCTAATAAAAAGGTACTACAATATTTTAAAATGTAATATATCAATCCGGTTGTTATGAGAGATTACTGCACAAAGGAGCTAGTTGAAGCGTAACATACAGATGGCCAATTTTTCAATCAGAATCAGGATCCTAATCCGAAACAGGAAGGTACCAAAACACCACCACAGTGATATAAAAATACTACTTCAGACATAGTAAGTCAGTTTTAGATTCCAAGTGCATACAGATTATTTTCTCCTAAATTTGATTTCAAGTTTTGTTTTAAACACACAATGGGAAGTTACTGGCAGTTGTATGTGCTGTGAGACTGTAATCAACAATATCAACCTTACAGTCAGTCAAGCATTTAAAAACCTGAATTTCAAATATAAAATCATTCTTTTCTCAACAGTCTATTACTGCTTTTTTATTTGAATTACTTGAATTAAAAAACTCAACAATTTCACAAAATAGAGACCTATTTTTACAACTCTCATTCCATAAAATGGATTGTGCTTTGTTATAGGAATGCCCTATATAGTTTTGTACATGACTTATTTAACAAGAAACTTCAAATGCGAAACCTCTTTTAGGCTGAATCTCATTAAAAATGAGTTAGTTGGATCATCAGTAATTTATTGTTATTACACAAACCTTCAGAAATAATAAGTCCCCCTGGATTATGTTCCCAGTCAAGTGACAACCATTTCTTAAGCATCATTTTTTACATTCCAGACATAACAACACTGGGGTATGTAAGGATGAATGTGTTGGGATAACACCTAACTAGGACCATGACCAAATTCATGACCAAATCAAAGGAACACATATGTAAGCAAAAACTGTATTTTAAGAAAAGCTACAGCAGAGGTAAGTTATATGAAAAGACAAAGGAAGGTGTCCTAGGGGACAGGGGACAGAATTAGTGAGCTGAGTCCTAAAAATGCATCGGGATGTTCCAAGTAAATGAAAAAGGAATATATTTCTGGCAAAGTACATAAAGTCACAGAAACGTGGACCAGCATGATGGTGGATAGGTGGATTCATGTCAGATTTGATGGAGCTCCTGGAATATAAATTCATGGTGGAGTGTGACCAAGGTGGGAGTGGACAGGAGAAAGCAGGCTGCTGTGGCTCTCCATGCCATGCAAACAACAACTACAATGCTAACATTTTCATCTGGTTATTTATATGGATATCAAACAACACATTTAAGAAAGGGAGCACCATGAACATTTCGTTTTAGAATACCCTGACGGGATAAACAATAAAGAGATACAGACATAGGGAAAACAAGTAGGATTACTGCAATTCAGCAAAGATAAAGGAAGACAAGACAAATCTGGAAGAGTTTTCTAAGGTACATTAAATATGTTTTTTGGTTTTATAGTCTTGTTGCAAGCTGAGGGCTGAATTAAGGGCCTCACACAAGCTAAGAATGCACTATACCACTGAGTTACACCCTCAGCCACTAAATAAAGTTTTAATAACCACCATGAAGAGAAGTCATGTACAATTTTGTATTTAGCTCATGATTACCCCATTAAATACTTGGTGTTGCAATAAGCAAAGATAGGAAAATAGTGAGTATAAAACTACTAAACTGGAAGTACCCGTCAATTATCAGCTATTTGAACAGTATCACAGTGCAGCTTATCGTCATCTTCCTTGTCACCAACAGTGTAAAAAATTAAAAGGCAGCAGTTTACAGGTGTAGTTACCTCATAACAAGCATCGGGATCCAGACACGTGTACACATTCTGCTGCATGGTTAACATGTCTTGCAGCAAGGTTCTCCAATGAGACTCACTCAAAGGAGGCTGCCTGGAATAACAGGAAAAACAAAAGATGAAAACCGAAAACATGAAAGATCTCTCTTCTATTAGTTAAAAGTTAAGAACACAACAAACAAGTACCACCATTCCAAATGATCACTAGGAATGATCTCATATGAAGACAGAAGGAAAAGCTGGGCAGCTGTACCTCAATGCTAGAGCTGCTGCCAAATCGGCCCCTGTCATAGGCTGCTTAGACACGAAACGAGCAGCAGAAACAACAAATGGCATATCGACAAGTTGTGAGTTTCTAAGGTAAAATAAAGCACCAAAAGATAAAGCAGCTATGATGAAGAAAAAGCATTTGGAGACAGGAATTCATTTCAAACTACTTCTTTATCACTGTGCACCTCCTCTCTGAGGTCTGTCTTCAACTGAACATTCAAACACATGGGGCAACCACAGGCGACACTGGATTTGAAGGCAGGATGGGAACCATGACTCGCAGCAGGGCCATTTGAGTTGTTCCTTCAGTGACAGTATGGACAGCACTCCATACAGCAACTTACAGAATACTGCAGAGTCACCTTCTCAGGTGACAGTTCAGGTAAAAGAAGCCTCATGGAGCAGTTACAACAGTTCACCCCGTGGGCACAGCAAGGAGCTTCCTGTTCCCAAGAGCCAGGACCCTCTGCAACTATTCCACAGACAGTGTTCCAGGCCCCTTAAGAAACATGACAGTGACCACACTCAAGAAAGGCTAAAGTGAAAAGGTCCCACAGGGTATTTCTGGGTCATTTACACTTCTTCCATGCCAGAAGTAATTTACCAGTTCGATCAATTATACCCAAGCAGTGAGACCTTTGTAATTCGGTTGATTAAAAACCATTTTATGTTTTCTTCCAAAGGTACAGAGAAGGGAATTAATGGTCAAGATCTCCTGTAGCAGGGGAAAGGGTTTTGCTAACATTTTCATCCACAGTCACAGATTAGCTGTCATTTAATGTTTCTGAATTTCACTTTCCTAACTCAAAGCCCACCTCAGTCTCAAAAGGAATGGATAATAATTCTGATGAAACACAAACATTGATGCAAGAAGCTCCTATAAGCTTAATTACCTGTATGAACTTGAGTTTTTAATATACTGAGTTCTAGGCTCCCTTTTATCTATGTTATAAAGATGAACTTAAACTAGAACATATAAAAAGACTTCCAATTTTTCTGGTATTAAGTTTTCAACAAACAATGAATGAAAATAAAGTTACAAATACATTTGTGTTTAAGTTACATATGATTACTAATATTGCCTTGTAGAAAGAACATTATAATTCTCAAAAGTTCATCTTAGATTAATATATATTTCTTTGGAATCATCATTTATGTTTACCTAAAATTTGTTTTCAAGTTCTACATAATGAATCTCAATTTTTTTTAGTTGTAGATGGGCACAATACCTTTATTTTATTTATGTGGTGCTGAGGATCAAACCCAGTACCCCATGCACGCAAAGCAAGCACACTATCACCTGACCACAACCCCAGCCCTGAATCTCAATGTTTGAAAAGGGTAGATTCTGTTTTGTGTTTGTCAAATACCAACTAGATAATGTATCTTTTTGTTATTCATTTTTGGCTTTATGTCATATAATGCATTTTTTAAAAATCATTACTATTTCCAAGAGCTGTGTTAAAAAGAGCAGATTGACAGTACACATATAATAAATATTTCTATAGAAAAAGTATGCATTGAGGGGTAATTTCTGTAAAAATTCTAGTCTATAAAAATTTTTGTGTTATGTTTTCTAGGCTGTCCTGCAACTCATGGGCTCAAGTGATCCTCCTGCATCAACTTCCTGAGTTCTTGGAGTAAAAGGCACACATTACCTTGCCCAGCTTCTCCTAAAAATTTTAATAAGTATATGCTTCTTTTAATAAGAATATGCTTCACTTGCCTTTGGCATTTTATATTACGCAAAATGAAGTACTCTCGTTTCATATGTAATAATACGTAAGAAGAAAACCATTTTTTAGCATACACACACACAAAATATATAATATTGGCAAGAATTTCTCAGAATAATCCATAAAATGTTTTCATTAGTTTGATATTAGTACCTGAACTCTACCCTCTGGCATCAAAGAATGGAGGACTCTTTCAGCTTTGGTATGCAAGCGGAGACACAGCGAAATGTTTGATAAAGTGAGGGCCCCAGCTTCCACCAGCTCAATAAAATCAGACCTAGGCATCATCTAGCTGAACTCAAGTCCTCACAGCCCAGCTGTTCTTCTAGAAGCCATCAGCACTGGGACAGATGGTATTAATGTTTCCTCACACATGGCTAGTCGTAAATAGAGTTCTAATTAAAATAAATTATAACACATTATTTATAATGGCCTTCTTCAGAAAACATTCAGTAAATAAGAATGAAGAATAGAACTTGAAGAAACTAAACAGGCTTGCAAATTAAGAAGATTCCTGAACACACACATACACAGTATGAGTTCAGCTTTGGAACAGAGGTGGATTTTTAAGGGAAAAACAGTCTTGTATTCAAGATGGTCAAACCTCAGTTTTAACAGATTTGGGGACATTGCTACCATTTAGGATATATACAAGACTATTCTGGAGGTAATGAAGGCCAAGCCATGGTAACATAACAAAATAATTAAAATTCATTTTAAACATACTACTTTGAAAATGGGCCATATTCTTAGTAAACAGGTCACTGAGTAGAAATTAACCTCAGACACTTCAACATTATGTAAGAAACTCAGTGTGAGGATAATCTTGCAGCAACAGCAAGGCTTTCCTGTTAAAGAGAAGGTTTTAGAGCAGTCAGAACCTCACACCCCACTTGAACAGGAATTTTTTTCCCCCTCTTAAAGGAAAGAGAAGTGGGATTTTTGTTTTGCATTTTGATTGATTGGTTGGTTGTTTTGCAGAACTTGAGATCAAATCCAAGTCTCCCAGTCTGCGAGGCAAGTGCTACTAGCACTGAGTTGCATTCCTCTGGCCATTAAGAAATCTTAAGACTTGAATCATTCAAAATCTTAATCATTCATTCAATAATCAGACAGCTGATATGTGAGTTCCCATCTGAGCTGTATGGTGGTGATCACATTCGTGCTAGAGAAAGAGGGATCTAAAGGGGAATGTGAAGTACAGACTTTAATAACCACAGGATGCTATTGCGAGAAATGAGGACAGCAGCAAGGGAGGCACATGGGAAAAGCCAGGGAATCTCCAGGAAAAACAATTCATTCCACCTGGAGTAGTCAAACCAGGTTTCCTAAAAAAGATGTGGAACAAGATCTTAAAAGAGGGAAATATATAAGACTGTCTCATTAGCATGGGAGTTTTTTCTTTTCATCTTTAAACTATATCTCAAAATTCGAAAATAACAAGAGAGAAAGAAGATTTTGAAAAGCTCTCATTATTTGATCCTACTTCCTGTGAAGCTGCCCCTTCAGCATTAGCTTTTGAGAAGACTTTTCCCAAGCATTCTTCACATCTTTATACAGTCTCCTGAGGGACAGGTTCAGAATCTAACCTCACCTGCATCCTTGGGGATCACCCTCCACTCCCTACCTCCAGCTCACACCTCTCTGATCTTCACATCCATCTTCAATCTGGAATCTCCACCTAAAGGCCACAAGGTCACAGGTCCTCTCTGCTTATTTCCCTGCCTAAAAATCTAGTATAATAGATTAAAAACACTTTAGAGTTTATTACTGAACATTTGGATACCACCTACTTCAAAATGCCTTTCAACTCTGTTGCCAACTTTTCTACAAGGTAATCTGTTAATTCTCACATAGACTTCATGAGTATTCTATTAGTATAATTTAATTGGACATAGCTCCAACCAGTCCAGACAGGTGTCATGTCTTTTTTCCTCAGAAGCCTGACATCAAGCATAATACAGACACTAAGTATGTCAAAATCCATAACAAAATAGTCATAAAATAATGTAAATAAAAAATTCATAAATATTTAAGAAATGTAAATGTTAACTAATGAGTTCAGTTGTCCTGTCTCTCTTATAACTGGTTTTAAGTAAATTTCCAAAGAGAAACTCAGCAAAATTTCTACCTTCCTTAGAATGACTGTTATACTTCAAATGAAGTTAACATAGAAACATACAGAATTAGTGTAAATACAAATGTTCTAGTTATCAAATTTAACATTATCTTTTTACACTTATTCACTCATTCGTTTGAAAAGATTCATTACCTATAAACTCTTAGAAACTGTTTTAAGCAACAGAAATAGAACATGAAAAAGTCACATATTCACCAAATTATTGAGCAACACAAATATTTTCTGATCAGCATCAGAAAATAACATTTCCACTGAACAAATTTTATACTTGCGCAGCTCTTAATATGTACATATACTAGAATCCTTATAGGAATGCAGGAAAAGAATAGATCAGCTTAGGCAGAACTGACATTTTTACACTACTGTATCTTCTAATCAACAAACATGAGGTATATTTCTCCATTTTTTTGTCTATTATTGTTCTCAGTGTTTGTAATTTTCAGTGTATATGATTTATATATTTCATTTTAGATTTACTGCTAGAAATGTGATGTTTTGATCCTATTATAAAGTTCCCAACTTCATCGTCATTAGGGAAATAGACATTAGGATTTCAGTAAAATGCTATCGTATTTGCTTAAAAAAGGAGGAAAGGGGAAAAAAAACTCTATCAAATAACTCTATATATTGCTAGAGCAATATACACAATAATTGTGAAATATGATTTGGCAGAATCTCCTAAAGTTGGTCTCAGGTATATTCTATAACTCAGCAATTGTATGCTAAGTAGGTATGGTATTCAAGAAAAACACATATGCATATATATCCAAAGACATACGTATAGGAAAGACAGAGGAATTAATCTGACTTAACTTTCCTATGTACATATGTAAGCATAGCACAGTGAATCTCCACATATGTGCAACAAGAGACTGGAATCTTTATTAGAATAAGATATACTTCAGATTTATTTAAATATGTCAAAATATATTCTATTATCATGTTTAATTAAAAAGAACAAATTTTTAAAAATTAAAATTATTCATAGAAATAGTATTAAGAACAAGCAAAACTGAGAAATAATCAAAATGTCCATAACATAGAATTTATAAATAATGTATTACATTCAAAAAATGAAATATTTTACAACAATGAGAATGAACAAATAACGTTATACCAACAATGTAGATGAATTTCACCCATATAATGCAGGGAGACTACATAAAAGTACATACTATAGAATTTTATTTGCATCAAGCAGTAAAAAGGGGCAAAGTTATGTATTGAAGGGAGGTCATGACTGGGAAAGACGAGAGATGTGGCTTACAACAATCCTGATTAGCACACACTGTACAAGCCACATGCCCTCCATTCTGACTACTCTCAGCTTTCCAAGCACATGGCAGCTTTCTACTTTAGCATCCAGGACTATGAAGTCTGCAGAGAAAAACTATTCAAGCTAGTCAGTCCAACAAAGTTAAAAAACACAAGATCAATGTATCAAAAATCAAGTGTATTTCATTACATCCTAGGAATGGACAATTTAAAATTAAGAAAGCAATTTCATTTACAATAGAATCAACAAATAATATTAGAAATCAATTTAACAAAATAAGTATGAGATTTGTGCATCAAAAGCAACAAAATCATTAAAGACCCAAGTAAATAGAGAGGTATACTGTGTTCATGGAATAGAAGACTTAATAGGGATTTAGGATAGCAATGCCTCCAAAATATATAAATTTGATATAATCCCTACCAAAATCCCAAATGAGAACACTTGACATGTTGATTTTAAAGTTCACATGTAAATGGAAAGGCCCTATAATAAGCAAAACAAACTTGAAAAAGAAAAAAGTTGAGAGACTAATATTAACTAATGTCAAGATTTATTATAGATCTATAATAACCAGTGTAATGTGCTTTTGGAAGAATGAAAAATTAATGGACAGAATAAAGACTTTAAAAATTCACCCTTACACATATGCACAACTGATTTTCAACAAAGTTGCAAAGGTAAGTAGGTAGAGAAATGACAGTATTTTCAACAAGTAGTGTGGTTAACACTCAGATGTGAGGGCTGGGAACGTGGCTCAATGGTAGACTCCTTGCCTAGTGTGTAGGAGGCCCTAGGTTTGACTCCCACCACCAAAAATTCATTCCAATGTGATGCATACTTTGAACAATAAAAGTAAACTCTCAAAATGCATCATGAACCTGAAAATAAACATACAACTAAAAATTCTGCTATAAAAGGTAAATATAAAACTGTGGCAAATATTTTTTAGATATGAAAACAAAAGCAGAATTCAAGAACCACCAATTGATTTTTTAAAATATGCTTTTAAAAAGACAAATAAGAGAATGGAAAGATAAGGCACAAGGGGAGAAAAGATTACACAGCGTATGTCTAACAAGGAGCATGTATCCTGAACATATTTAAAAAAAAAAACGAAGACACGATTTAAAAAAAAAAAAAAAAGCCCCTCCTGAATTACACCTGTAATTCCAGCAGCTCAGGAGGCTGAGGCAGGAGAATCAAATTCAAAGCCAGCCTCAGCAATAGCAAGGCCCTAAGCAACTTAGCAAGACCCTTTCTCAAAATAAAAAAATAATTTTTACAAAGGACTAGGGATTTAACTCAGTGATAAAGCACATCTGGATTCAATATATAGTACCAAAGGAGAAAAAAAAAACATGAAAAGAGACTTGTAAAATAAGCCTATAAGAGGATCCCCAACATTATTAAAGACATGCAACTAAAACCAAAATCAGATACTACCCACATACCTATTAAAATAGCTGAGCTTAACAAAACTGACCAATCCTAAGTATTGATGAGGATGTAGAACAGCTGAACTCTCCTACAAGACTGGTTAAAAAATAAAACGATACAAATACTTTGGTAAACAGCTTGGCAGGTGGCCCCCTCTCCCAAGTTAACCATCTACCTACCATGATCCTGCCAGTTCACCTTTATGTATTTATTCAAGAGAAACTGAAATCTATATCTACAGCAGATATATTTGTGAAAGTCAAAACTTGAACCATCCAAATGTCCACTAATAGAATAGTTAAATAAGGTGAGATTAATCCAAGCAATGAAATACTACTCAGCAAATAAAAATGAATGGGCTACTGAATGAATAAAAATATTCTGAGTAAAAGATGTCAAATAATCGGCCGCGCGTGGGCGGGAGCCGGAGCGGCGATTCTAGCAAGAGCGGAATCTCCCAATGTGACAGCGCGCGGGGGGTGGAGGCGGCGGCGGAGGCGGGCGGGGGAGGGGGAGGGTGCAGCGCGCGAGGGGAGGGCTGGGGAGGCGCCGCCGCCGCCGCCGCCGCCGCCCGCGCGTTCGAGCCCGGAGGAGCCGCCGCCACCGCCACCGCGGCGGAGCGAGCGCCGTCGGGGCGGGCGGGCGGGCAGCAGCGGCGGGCCCCAGCCGGGGGGAGCAGGGAGAGCGCGCCCACCACCTTCCCTTCCCCCCCTCGATGGGAGCGGGGGCGTCCCGGCCGCTGCAGCCGCCTGAGGGAGAGCCGGGGGCTGCCTCTTCGGAGTTGGGGCTGAGCTGTCCACCGGGGAGAGCGCGCCAAGACTGCTGCAGCTGCGGGCCAAGTTAAACCCATCTACAGTAATGGCTGCGGCCTTACCCAGGACCCTGGCAGAGTTGCAGCTATATAGAATATTGCAGAAAGCCAATCTGCTCTCTTATTTTGATGCCTTTATCCAACAAGGTGGTGATGATGTCCAGCAACTCTGTGAAGCTGGAGAAGAGGAATTTTTGGAAATCATGGCACTCGTTGGCATGGCTAGCAAACCCCTACATGTTAGAAGATTACAGAAGGCTTTGAGAGACTGGGTTACAAACCCTGGCCTTTTCAATCAGCCACTGACTTCCCTTCCTGTCAGTAGCATACCTATCTACAAATTACCAGAGGGATCACCAACATGGCTAGGAATATCCTGCAGTAGTTATGAAAGTAATAGCAATGCCAGGGAACCTCATTTAAAAATTCCCAAATGTGCTGCCACCACCTGTGTGCAGAGCTTGGGACAGGGGAAGTCAGATGTGATGGGGAGCTTAGCACTGCAGAGTGTTGGTGAGTCCAGACTCTGGCAAGGCCACCATGCTACTGAGAGCGAACACAGTCTGTCCCCAGCAGACCTTGGCTCTCCGGCTTCCCCTAAGGAAAGCAGTGAGGCACTGGATGCTGCTGCTGCCCTCTCTGTGGCAGAGTGTGTGGAGCGAATGGCCCCCACACTGCCAAAAAGTGACTTGAATGAAGTGAAAGAGCTGCTAAAAAACAACAAGAAGTTGGCCAAAATGATTGGTCACATTTTTGAGATGAGTGATGATGATCCACACAAAGAGGAGGAAATTCGAAAATACAGTGCAATATATGGCAGATTTGACTCAAAGAGAAAGGATGGGAAACATCTCACACTTCATGAGCTCACTGTTAATGAAGCAGCTGCCCAACTCTGTGTGAAAGATAATGCCCTGCTTACAAGAAGAGATGAACTTTTTGCTCTGGCTAGGCAGATATCTCTAGAAGTCACCTATAAATATACTTACAGAACCACCAAGTCAAAATGTGGTGAAAGAGATGAATTATCCCCAAAGAGAATTAAAGTAGAGGATGGGTTTCCAGATTTCCAGGATTCTATGCAAACACTCTTTCAGCAGGCTAGAGCCAAGAGTGAAGAACTCGCAGCCCTTAGTTCACAGCAGCCTGAAAAGGTGATGGCAAAGCAGATGTAACTCCTCTGTGCCCAAGCTGGCTATGAAAGACTGCAGCATGCTGAGAGAAGACTGTCTACAGGGTTTTACAGGCAGAGCTCAGAAGAGCACAGCCCTAATGGCTTGCCTTCTGATAACTCAGATGGACAAGGAGAGAGACTTTTGAATCTCCGAATGCCTAATTTGCAGAACAGACAGCCCCATCATTTTGTGGTGGATGGGGAGCTGAGTAGACTTTACTCAAATGAGGCAAAGTCCCACTCCTCAGAGAGCCTTGGGATTTTAAAAGACTACCCTCACTCAGCTTTTACTTTGGAAAAGAAAGTCATCAAAACAGAACCTGAAGATTCAAGATAGCTGTGATTCTCCTATTGTTCTCTGGAAATGGCATCAGATTTAAGGATTAATGCTCCATCATAGAAATAAGCCTTAATAACCAATGTTGCCTCATTCAGCTCAAACAGATTTCATAGCCAAAGCATAAGAACTCCTGCAGCAGTCTGTGGAAACTGGGAAGAAACAACAACAGCCACAAAAGAGAAAAATCAAGAGAGAGTTGCAATTTATATCAGAAACATTTGATCCATTCACATTCCTGTGTAAGTCATTTTATGTGGAAAGGCTTACAAGTTAATATTGTAAGCATTCATTATTTCAGAATGTATAATGTATTTGTGTAATTTATAAAGTAAAATCTAGATGTTGAGACCCATTTGGTCTAATAGATGTGGATACAGTTTATTTTACTTGAAATTTTATTGTCTACTTTAAGTGTATTTAGCGTAAATATTATTATCAGAGTTTAGAATCTTTGCAGTCATAAAAAAGAAAGCTTAAGTAATATAGTTATTGGCAAGGTTGCAATGACTGTAGAAAAATGAAAAGCAAATTCTCAATTTAAGCCAAGGAAAATATTGTGTATTTAATATTTGATGAAACTGATTTTGTTTACCAGGAAATATATAGCATTTGTTCAGTAATCTTTTTGCTGTTTTAATGAGTGCACATTTACACAATTAATTAAAGTTAAAAAGATGAGCACTTGTTCTACTAGGAGCACAAACTAAAAGTTAAAAAGATGAGCACTCTGAAAAATCTCTCTTACCTAGTTGACCCAGATGGATTACATAATTGCTATTTACATAACAAATGAATTTACATAACAAATGAATAGGAAGCTATTCCTTGGACAGAACTTGAAACAAGTGGACTAATGTGTAAAATCCTTGATTTAAACATTGGTATTTCAGAATGTGTTAAATAGATTAAGATGTAGTACATTAATCCTAAATGTGACAAAGATGTTGACTTAACAAAGGCTATAATGATTGTTAGATTTTATATTCAGAAATTCTTCTCCAAGTATAGGAGTCAGACTAGGTGGCTCTCCCTGGGGAATGCCTTCCCACCCATCCATCACAAGTGTGGAGTCACTGATCCATATTTGCAGGCATATTTCTATGGAAGTTCAGTTGACAGGTTTATTATTTATTTTACAATTTCATTTTTGTACACCTTTCAGATTTTTGAATGCTTTTTTTTTGTAAAATTCATTTTAACTTGAAAGTATACTTATAATCTCCCCTATTTAATTAGTAGACCGTATGTTCATACACACTATTAAATATTAATAGTGCATTGGCATACTTATAAGAATTTCATATTTGAATCCATAGTGGGTATTAAAAAAAAAAGAAAGAAAGAAAATCCAACTCTGCCAACATCCATTTTTTTCTGCTGATTGAAGAGAAGATATTTGACAGTTTACCTACTTCCTACAGATTCATCTAAACCCAGATATTGCTGAGAAGAGTATATGGACATGGAGTATATGTCTGTTTTTAGTTCTGCTTTAAATCATAACTGTGTAACAAATATTGTCATGATCTGTTATACTAAAATTTGTCAGCCAAATGTTAGATGAAATGTCTGCACTGTAGTCTCTGATCACTGTCACATATATAATTGCTTTTTTCATTTTGATTTGTAGAAGAGCTTTATGGTAGAAAACACCAGTAAACAACTTTTATACTATTAAAAGGCTTTTTCCCCTTTCTAAATGTTTTAAATGTACCCTAGTATTTTGCCCACTGAAGAAGCTTTTTATGGACCTTGCAACTTTGTTGCTAGCTTGAGGTTGATTATTGTGGTTCTATTGTTCACTGTGTGTAGAACTAGTATGAGTACAATTTAAATAGAATGTTCAGTTTTTAATATTAGCCATAGCACTGGTTAGTATCTCAGTAGTTTCATGAAACGTTTCCTGTATTCTAATCTATTTTGAGAAATTTTGTGGGGTTTTTTTAATCGTGTCTTACAGTTCAAGTTTATAGATTTTAATAAGCAACAGTTCTTAAAGATGCAATAATCTTCCAACTAGTATTTATCCATCTTTCATGAACTCACAAACTGCATCTTTAAATCCATAAGTAAGATTCCTTAATCATACTTTTCTGCTCTTTCAAGCTTAGTGATGAGGAAGCACAAAAATTTCAGTAGAAAACAGTTTTTATTTTGTAAACACTAATGTATTAAACTTGCTATACATTAAAGCAAATAATATATATTTTTATTTGAATTGTATATATGAATTGGATGTTATAACTAGTTGATTTTTTTTTTCATTGTGTTAGAGGTATTTTCACTGAACAAGGTCAATTGGTTACCTCAGTATTACAGCCAATATAGTCCAAGGGACCGTTTTTCCCCTGAGTCTGTGTTATATTTTATTGTGTGAAGTCTGCATTTTTGTGACTCTTAAAGCTGTTGGTGAGGTGGGATGAGTACACTTGTTTCCTGTGGCAATAAAGATTTTGTTTGCCTCAAAAAAAAAAAAAAGATGTCAAATAACCATCACAAAATACGGATGATTCATTTACACAAAATTCTAGGAAATGTAAAGTAACATGTAAAGGGACAGAAAGTAGATCTGACCTTGTAAGGGAATGTGTACTTGATGAGGAGAAGCTGGCAAGAATGAATCGTAAATAAGCAACAGCAAACCCTTAAGGGGAATGAATATATTCATGAACCTGACAATACTGATGGTTTCATGAGCATATATATGTCAAACCTTATCAAACTGTATATGCGTATGAGTTTTAACGACTCACTTCCGACCGGCGTGTCTGGTCAATCTAACCATCAGCTTGCATCTTTAAATCCATAAGTAAGATTCCTTAATCATACTTTTCTGCTCTTTCAAGCTTAGTGATGAGGAAGCACAAAAATTTCAGTAGAAAACAGTTTTTATTTTGTAAACACTAATGTATTAAACTTGCTATACATTAGGCTTGTGAGCCTCTTCAGAGCTAGACTGAGTGTTCTTAACAAATGAAATAGGTTTCTCAAGTCCATGTTTTTCCAAAAGCTCTGACACACTGTAAGTAAAAAAAGAATTATCTAAAATCTTGCTGCCAAACAAAAGGACTCTAAAAAATCTTAAACATACAAATACTTAAGTTCTAGTATTAAAACAAAGAGCATCACACAATATGATCCAGTTTTATATTTTAATTTAAGAAAAACAAAGCTCATTATATTTCAAATCTTATTTTCCCCGTCGACTTTCATTAGAATATACCTGGACTAAAGCATATTTTTTAAAAGGGCATTTTTATTTCAAAATTATTTTAGCAATTTCCCTCTACCATAATAACACAAATCAGTAAAATAAACCAAATATATAATTTCATTGCCCAATTTTAACTCTTTGTTAACAATTCTATGATTTGTAGCTGTGAGGGGCAACAAGACTAAAAAGTTTTTATTTTAAAATAACACCTACGGCCAGGCACAGTGTCAAACACGGCGTGGGAGGCTGAGACAGGAGGATTACAAGTTCAAAGCCAGCCTCAGCAATGGCGAGGCGCTTAGCAACTCAGTGACACCCTGTCTCTAAAATATAAAATAGGGTTGGGAATGTGGCTCAGTGGATAAGTGCTCCTGAGTTCAATCCCAGTACCCCCCCCAAAAAAAAAACACCCACACACACCTTAAAAGTAAGACCTAAGCATCATCCAGAGACCTATAGGATACTACTGTTTTCTTGAGGTACTGGTGGCATAAGGACCACAAACATGCAGTAAATAAAGTATGACTATTTCATTGTATCTCAGTGAAATCTATTTTCTAGGTTTCATTAGGCAAACAGATAAAAGGAGTAGTGAAAAGTCAACTTGTAATAGGAAGCACTTGATTTATTAAACATTCTGTAAGAAATACAACTGTATAATTTTCAGAACATAGAATAATAAGAATCAAGCTAATAATAAATGGAGGTCCTGAGAAAAACAGTTAATTCTTCATTTAACTCACATACATGGTACACAAAACATTCTGTTCCCTTAAGTGCAGCTTAAAATATTTACCCTAAAGACCCTTAGTTTGAGTGAATAAAATTACTGAACTCCAAATTATATTTTACCATACATATTACCACTACTAAAGTGGTGTTATTATCTATAATTTCTATAATTACCCATTGAAAGAACAGTGTTATTCTTAACATTTTATTTGAAATATTTTAAAGTTACATTTTTACATACACATAAACACTAACAATATTAACTTTTTAAATGGCAAATTAAGAATGTTCCAATCTCAAAGAAATAACTCAATGTTTCCTCAGAACAGTAAAGAAAAACTAATACCAAGTAATATGAAGGTTCTAGCACAGTTTGATCTAATTAAATATATTGTACCCAAAAAAGTCAGATTCAATACTTGCTGCAGAAATTATCATTTCTTTTGTGCCTGTTATGTTTAAGGGACTTTAAATGCTTCATATAATATTAATTCCCAAATTCCACGAGTTCAGTAATTAAAAATAAGGAAACCACAAGTTCAAAGATTACACAGCAGAAATGTCTAGATTTGAATACAGGCTCATCAGTCTATAATCCCATGCCTCTTACTATTCTTCCATTCTGCTGTAACAAGGAAGCTGTACATTCATCACTGGGGAGATTCACTCAAAAAAGAACCAGAAAAAAAAAATACAAGGTCAAAGGAGGAATAATGACTAAAAGGCTGGCTTAGGGTCACACTTCTTGGATAGTCCTACTTACTTGGCACAGAACCAAAAGACTTCATTTTTCTCACCTGAGAATTTGTTCCAGTTGGTCTACCATGTCATGAAGAGTTGTGGTCATCTTTGTCTTATGACTAAAGAATTGAAAGAACAAAAATTAAAATTAAGTCTTAATAGTGAGGCTCTTTAATAAAGCATAACACCCAATTCAGTGGTCCAAGAGCATGCTTCTCTTCTGTTTCATATGTAACATACTGTCCAAATAAAAGTTCAGGCTTAACTCCTAAATTCATTCAATAGTTTTCTTGAGTCTATAGATTATGCCTGTAATCCCTGCAGCTCTGGAGGCCGAGGCAGGCCGACTGAGTTCAAAGCCAGCCTCAGCAAAAAGTGAGGCGTTAAGCAATTCAGTGAGACTGTCTCTAAATACAAAATAGGGGCGGGGATGTGGCTCAGTGGTTGAGTGCCCTTGAGTTCAATTCCTAGTACCACCCCTGCGCCCCTCCCCCAAAAAAAATAAATAAATACAAGAGTAGGTCAACATTCTCCATAACAGATTAGCGAGACAGGAGTAACTACTTTCTAAGGTATTTTTGGTTTAGTTCTGACTCAAGGCAAAAAGAAAAGAAAGAATAGAATTTAAATTAATTGGAGAAGAACTATAAATCAGGGGGCTGGGGCTGTAGCTCAGTGGCAGAGCACTTACCTAGCATGTGTGAGGCACTGGATTACATGCTCAGAACTGCATACAAATAAAATAAAGGCATGTTGCCCATACACAACTACAATTAAATAATAATAATAAAAAAACTAATACATCAGAAAATGGATGGAACTTGAGAATATTATGTTAACTAAAATAAGCCAAACTCAGAAAGTCAAGGGTTGTGTGCTTTTTTCTCTCATGTAGAAACTATAGAGGAAAGAGGAAAAGAATGGTTGAGGAGAACCTCATGAAAATTGAAGGAAGATCAGAAGAGTAGAGGAAAGGGGCCCGTGGAAGGGAGAAAGTGAGGAAAAGGGGAAATCTTGGGGAATGATATTGGCCAAGTTATATTGTTATATTGTGTGCATGTATGAATCTGTAACAATGAATCCTACCATTATGTGAAACTATAATGTAACAATAAAATATGGAAAAATAAAATTAAATATATCTTCTTCTGAAAAAAAAAGAATACATAGCCAACAATGCCATTTTAAAGAGAACAGGTGCTGGGCACTGTGGCACATGCTTGTGATCCCCAGCAGCTTGGGAGGCTGAGACAGGAAGATCATGAGTTCTAAGTCAGCCTCAGCAATGGGGAGGTGCTAAGAAACTCAATGAGATCCTATCTCAAATACAAAATAAGGCTGGGGATGGGGCTTAGTGGTCGAGTGCCCCTGAGTTCAATCCCCAGTACCCACCCCCTGCCAAAAGAGAGAGAGAGAGAGACAGAGAGAGAGAGAGAGAGAGAGAGAGAGAGAGAGAGAAAGAAAGAAAGAAAGATTTTCTTTATCTTCCCAAAGGATTGTGATTTTGTTTCAGAAAACTGGGGAGACAGGCAGGGAAGCCTTGGTACAGAGCATGATGTGTTCTAGCTGTTAACACCCACAGTCTCTGATCTACTCCACAAATCTCTTGGGAATTAACAAATGCTAAGGGGTTCTGGACCTTTCTTCTGCCGTTGTACAGCTTTCCAACTGTGTAGGACTTATCTCTACAGTCTCAACATGAGCTCCTTAAGGATAAGGGCAGAGCCTGTGACTTATAGCTGTCCATGTCTCCTAGTCTTCACTAGTAAATATTTGTTAAATGGAAACCTGACTGAGGCTGCATATCAAAAGGATGGGGGATTTTCAAGGCAGGGTACCTGCTCCTGCCTAACTGAATAGAGACTGCTTGGCTTGGAGGCTGCCTTATCCTGTCAAAGAGATCAATAATGCTGCTGGGTTATGGGCATCAGATAAGAGGTTTCAGGGTTTAAAAAAGACATGACAAGTTAGAGGACAGTTAGGAGGATAGCTGTCATGATGATAAAGGGTTTTAAAAAGCAGGTGCAAGAAGAAGGCTGGGGCAATATTGGGGCTATTTAAATATCAAAAGTTTTGCTTGAATCATGTATGATAGGCAGTTGATTTTCCATTAGTAGTAGGGTGCTTATATAGCACAGATCTTAATAGCTTTTTTCATGGCAAGACACTCTTATTTTCTTAGGAAAATATCAAAATTATGTGTCCCACAAGGGTAATGCTCTTCAAGACTAGAATCTGCCCTAAGGTTCTGACATTTTAGGTGGCTCCCTGCCACCAAGGACTGAGGGTTCAATTCCTTAGCACACCATAACCTCTTCCTGGTTTGAGAAAGTCATATAAGCATTATGAAATTGATATGGAGGCAGGGAATATTTGAATTTCAGGTAGCTAGAAGCAAGTTAGATCAAAATAATGAATGAAGAATTGAAAAAAAAATGAGAAGATGGTTGATTATCAGATTTGAAAACACTGGATCAATTTATCAGGGGGCGGGAAATAGAGCACATCCAACAGTCTTTGTTATGTTTAATCTTCACTACTTCAGAAAAAAAACAAGCGTTATAAACTTATTTCCAAGATCACTTGAAGTTTCAATTTTATTTAGATTTTTTTATGTTTATTTTTGTTTCACAGTGTTGACTAACAAATTATTAGTTTTAATGAGAGTGAGCCACTGTGATTGAAGACACTACAGGCTGATTGAAACAAAAATTTGCTACTGAAACTTATAAAACTACATAAGTATGAAAGAACGTTAAGTTAGAGTAAAGCAAAAGCTTTCTGTAGATAAGATAGATTTAAGGATGTAAGTGACCCAAGAGTGTAAATGTCTTGGTACAAGCAAAAATTCCAGGCAGTGTATGTCAGATTTTCAAGGCAGTGGAATTGGTGGGGTGTAAGTCAAGGGATCCAAACAGTAAAAAGGGACTCATGTAAAACATCTTGGTTACACATGAAACAAACAGGAATGCTCCCTGAGATAATGAAGGCATGATATGAGGAAAGAGTCGAGTGGGAAATGGAACAACAGACCTGAGCAGAGGGATCTGCTGGCTGGTGGGCAGGTGGAGGAGGGGCACAACCTCCTCAAGTCTTCTCTCCCACCCTCAGAATCCTTTCCCTTTGTGACTCTTCAATGGTGTGTGATGCAAGCCTGGAGATACAGAGAAGCCCAGGCACCCTCAGAACTCATTTGCCTTAGGCAACCGAGCAATTCAGAGGATGAAGAATGTTTTCTCTTTGCTGAATAGCCATACTGAACCATGGTTGATCTTGGTTCAATTCTTTGGGATATTGATCCCAAAAGTACCATTTTGAGTGGGTTGGTGTTGCTTTTTCTATACCTGTCCTTTCAGGTATTGAAACGATTTTCACCAACACTCGAGAAAAATAAAGCCATCCAGAAGAAGGTAAGGAAGCAGAGTGAACTCCCAAGGGAGTTTCTTGATTTTGTCAAATGTGAAATGTTTTGTGAAATGTCAAATGTGATATGTTATTTCCATTCTCGCATTACTAAATGTTTGCTTGGCTCAAAGAAGATGTGACTTGGGAAGTCTGAGGACAAGATAGAACTTCACTCTTTAGGGAAAGAAGTCAGAGGTTCAGGAAGGACTAAGGTTTCCATCTGAAGCTCACAAACTATCTTTTGGGGTGTGATGGAGGGTTCCAGATTGGTTTGGATAGAGAGTGTGGCTTCTCTGAAGGGGACGGGTTTCTTCTGACTAGATTCTGAGTCTCATTCCCATGTCAGATGTGCTTCACCCAGCCTTCATATTGGGCTGATCAGAACAGCAGTGCTGACCTCGGAGTACAGTCTGTAGCCTGAGCTCTGCCCCAGGACACAGGGTTCCCTGGGGGAGCCCAGACGTGACTGTTGGCCTCAGATTCTATGCCCTCCTTCCGCAGAGGGTTTAAGACCATCAAATGTGGAATCTCACAGACAAAAATGTCCTTTGAAATTATCAAAGAAGTAAAAAATTGAAAATATTTCATTGCCCTTCAAGATTAATAAAAGGAAGGAATACAATTTCTACTAATTAAAAATGAAGAGTTGTCCAATTCTTGCCTAATGAATGTCTAAGCTTGTTAACAAAAGGAGTAAAAGAAATGAGCCCCAGCCCCTCATTCTTTTCTTTTTGTTTTCAGCGTCAGGGAACAAAGAGAAGGAGAAATGGAGTATCTAAAGGTAAGGTTCTGCCTGTTCAACCTGAGCTCTATAAGGGTGAACTTTCCTATCTCCCTACAGCTCCATGATCTTGGAGGATGTCAGTTTCTAGGTGCAGTCTCTCTCAGGAAACAGGGTCTCAGAGGAGAGGCTCAGGAGAAGGCAGTGAGACCTGAGAGATTCCTCAGAGTCCCTGCCCTGCCCACCCTTCCTTGGGTGTGAATGAAGTAGTGATGGACCTGGGCCTTGGACATTTACTGCCAAGTAGGGGCCCTGTGAGATGTCCAAAGACCCCTGATTGTCTTGGAGTCAGAATTTCTGTCTGGTGACATGGTGTAAACTACTTTAATTCTTGGCTGATTAGATTCATCCTGAGTTAGCGACTGATCCTTGTGCTTCAGGTGGTGGTTTTGAGCAGCATGTAGGATGGTACAGGTGAAAGTACTTTCTAAATGGAACCACATATACCTGTGAACCTTCTTACTATTATCCCTGACACTTATGACCTTATCTGCAGATTTTTAGGGCTTTCTGACTTTAATATCCTGTTTCCTGTAAAAACTCCTGAATGATAACCTGTGTTTTCACCTTTACTATATATAACCAACTGTCCTGGTTTTCCAGGTCGGAGAACTTGCCGGAGAGAAGTAGAGGAGTGGAGGAAGCTGCTTTCTAGTCTGAAAAGGTGATTAGTCATTTCCCTTTACTGATTCCTTTCCTAGCATGCTTTATTCAGTCCCCCAGGCATTCTTCGAAACATGCCCTAATCACAGGAGGGATAGCCATAGCCATGGGTACGTGAATAAAGAACTTGGGAGGGGAGGGTATTGTGAGGTCATAGATGTGTGGAATGTAGAGCAGGTAGCGGGCTCCCCACCACCCATAGAACTGCAGATCTTGCTTCCCTTGTACTGGTTCTGGTTACAGCTTTGGCTTTCTTTCTCTTACAGTCCCATGAGCCAGAATAATGATTTCCTCCACTTTCTGCAACTGTTATGTAAATGCCCGCTCTGTGGGGTGTATAACAGAACAGGAGCTAAGGTCAGTCAACTGATCTGTAAGGCGTTCTTGGAAAATGCTCTTAATTCTGTGTCCCGTGTGTCTTCCGTGACGTCTGTGAGAGAGTCATCAGTTTTTTGGTCCGCTGTTGTCTCTGCAATCCCTCTGGGAGCTTCAGTTTCAACTCCTTTAACTGAGCCAACTCTATTTCCTTCCTCTATTCGTTCACCTGACCAAATTACCCCTTTAATGGACCTACCTGGACCCTCATTACTGGGTGACTCTCTGCCACCAGAGCCTTCTCCCTTGAGTTCAAAATTGCCAGTGGATCATATCCCACCTCAACCATCTGTTCCAACTCCTCCCCCACCTGTTCCAACCCTTCCCCCACCAACTGACAGTCAAGAAGCAAAACCTGTTCTCCAACCAGAAGCCCCTTTGTCTCTGGTGGATAGCCCTGATGGGTTGTCTACTAATGTCCCAACAACCACATGCACTGACAGTGCAAGCCTTCCAGTGTCAGAGTTCTCTGGAAACCAGTCTCATGCTGAAAACTTGTCTCCATCTAAATTGGAGCACTCTGATGATGACAAAAACCTCCTCGACCTCCATCCTCCTGAGGCCTCTTTTGAGAGTGATACTACAGCCATCCTTGTAGAGCACGGAAACCTCTCATTTCTATGCCCTGATGTCTTGGCCCTTCTGGAGAGACATATAAAAAAGAAGGGTGGTTTCCTGATGCAGAACAAAAAGAAAAAGGAAAAAAAATCTTTTCCAAAAGAACTTAAGCCAGACGACCAATTGAATTCTTCAGGGAAAAGGTTAGAGTCAGTTGCTGAGCAACAGGACTCACCTGTCTCCCTTCCTTTACAGAGCAGTGAAGGCAAATCAGAGGGATTGCAGGTAGACCACCAGTCCTCAGATCCTAAGACCTTTGAGGATAACTTACCTAAAAAATGTACCCAATTCTTCTATGGTCTCCCATCTTTGCATAGTGAGTCCTTGAAATCTATAGTTCCCGTCTCAGGTGACTGTTCAACCTATGTCTGCTTCAATTCAATGCCCACTTTCTTTGAAGCCCCTGAATCTCTAGTTCTACCCCCTCCCCCAACTCTGTCCTTGCCTGAGATCCAATCTCAACCCTTGACCCAAGCACTGTGCCAATCTCCTGTCCCACCTCAGGACCAGCTTCAGTGCCAATCTCCTGTCCCACCCCAGGACCAGCTTCAATTCTCGGTCCCTACCTTGTCACCACCCATTTCATCTCAGGTTAGTGATGGTGGAGTGAGGATTCATAGATTCCAGGATGAGGTACACTCTCTCATGCCATCCAAAATTCATGACTTGGAATATAATGTATTAGAGAAAGGACAGGAAAGTTTGTGGGGTTTACCCTCTGTGGTTCAAAAATCCAAGGAAGAGTTTTGTCCTGCAGCTCCCAGTGTTTTATCTGATTGTCGGTCCTCCAAGGCTTATGCTCCAACAACCATCATTCCGGGAGATTTTCCCCTCAAAAAAGAGCTTCGGAAGAAGCTAGAGCACCACCTTCGGAAAAGGCTTATTCAACACCAGTGGGGTCTGCCCTGCAGAGTCCTTGAGTGTCTGTCAAGGATGAGTCCTGAAACAGAAATTTCCGAAATATCTGAGTCAAAGTCCACTTACGGACTTTCATGGATCTCTTTGTTTAAGGGTCAAAGTAGCAAAGATTTACAATTGAGCCATCCCAGAAGTTTCCATGAGAAGAGCTCAGAATTACTTCCACTAGAGGAGAGAATGAAGAAAGTAAATAGTCTAGAGATTGGCACAAAAGATGATCCATTGAGTGACTCAGAGGGGGCTCCAGATAATGATCTGGACTCTGACTTTAAGACAAACCTAAAAAACGAATTGAATAGTCTTTTTGGAAAAAAATCAAAGATCTCAGAGGAGAGCTCAGTTCAGAAACAACTGACAGAAGCCCTAGAAATACATTTGAGCAAGAAATTTGAGGAAATCCATGTGTGTCAGATGCCTGGCACCGTGAATAGATCATTGCATTCTATGGAGCCAGTATTGATTAGTCCTGAGAAATCCCTTAGCCAAACGAAACACAGAGATTTGGTACCACTGGTGTGTAAGGACAAGGGCCTCAATACCTCCCAGGATATATCCTTCCTTGGTTCCAACAAACAAAAGATCTTGGAAGACCATATTAAACTGTTCCATAAGAGGATGATGTGTGGGCTTCCTCAAAAGGTCCAGGAATCCATAGACATCTTCAAAATGAAAGGAACCCCATCCTGGTCCTCAGTTCGCTCCAACATTTCCTCCTCATCCAGTCTTACTTCTGGCAAGTATTCCAAAATTGGGGTCTCCAAGCCCCTTAAAGAAAGCATTAGTACTTTTCACGTAAATAAGGTGGGAACAATAATTTCAGGCCCTACTCTAGATCATCCTCTTTCTGCCACTTCACCTGTGAGCAAGGAAAATAAGAGGGCCCTAACACATTCACCCTCTCACACCAACCCTGAGCTTACAGAGAATGTCAAGGCAATTGAGGGTGACAGACGGGCTTCGTTGCCCTTCCCACACAGTGACAAAGATAAAGACAGTCAGAAACAGACTGTAATAGCCAATAAATGCAGCCCAAAGTTGCCCACAAAGCAGGCTGGGGCCAGACCCAAATCATGGAATAAGGGAGTGAGTCCCAGCAATAGTATAGAAAATATCCAGAGAAAAATGATTAAGAATTTAAAATATTTTCCCATGTCTAACAAGTCCAGGGAGATATTCAAGGCAAAGGAGCTCTGTGCTATTCGATCACAGTCTACGAACAGCCTGACGACCACAGAGTCAGAAAGCTCCTCAGTGACAGATATGAATATGAGTAAAGTTGAATCAACTCTAACCATTGAAGGGCCCCCAGAAGGAATATCAGTTCTCAAAGATTCCGAATCATTAGATCTTAAAAATCAGTTGCTTAATGAGTTGAAGATGAAAATCGAGAGCAGGGAGCGGGGCCTGGTTCCAGCCTTTTCTACTGAGTTGTCTCTGGCCTTAGATAAGTTGACTTCCAAGACCCTGGCTTCCAAGACCTTAGCTTCCAAAACCTTGACTTGCAAGACCTTGACTTCCTTCACTCATTTTCATAGTGCCTCTAGTGGGGACATGGCAGCTCCCCAGGTGCTACAAGCCCAATGTGACAACAGAGGGATCAACATAGAGCAGGGGCAAGAACACTGGATCCCTACACATGTCTTATGCAAGTGTCAGGACAAGAATGTACCCTTAGCATCAAAAAGGGTGTGCCCTCTGGTACCCCAAACAGGCAAGTTTTGTGGAGGGGATACAGGGTTGGTGACACGCCAACCTAGAGGGAAGCTCCCCCACCCTCAAGACAGAACACTAAAGGAGGCACTTGGGAGCAAGTCCTCCTCAGCCCCATCACTGAAGGGACAGCCTTCTAAAAGCCAGTTCAAACACTTTTTTCAAAGGCTTTATCTTGGTATAAAAGGCAAAGGGCAAGAAGGTTCTCTGGAAAAGGGCAGCTCTTCATCATCTGTGCAAGGCAGAAACCCAGCTAAGAAGAGAGCTGCCTTTACTGGGAATACTGAAGCTCAGAAAATCATGACAGACATTGGGATCCTAGAGGAGAAACTAGCAGGTCGGCATGGAGTAGAGGCCACCGCCCCACAAAAGCCTCTTTCCACCCCCATGAGGCCTGGGAAAATTCAGCACAAGACTGGATTGCCGATTCAGGCAGAACCCATCCAGAAACATGACTTCAATGTCAATACTCCCTGTGCTAAGGTGCCAAGTGCCAAATCTTGCAGCCACGAAGTTGGCTTTGCTGGTCAGTGGTATCGTATAGGGAATAATAAATGGGTCATGGACAGGGGCAGACAGCCCCAGAAAAGTGTACCGTACAGGACAAGATAATATGTCAGAAGCATCACCCATCCATGCCGCACAAGGAACCCTTGCCCCATCTGAATACTACATGCAAATATAGAGTTGGTCAGGTGGCTCCAGCTGCTGCTCCTTTTGCTAAAGGCACTGTGTTGGGAGAGTTGTCCCTATTGTTCAAACAGAAAATGCTTCTCCAGAATTTTCAGAAAGAAAATTTTCTTCCCCCCAAATAATTTATCCCTTTTTGAGAATACTGATTTTCCCCAATAAATTTTCTAACAATATGGTGTCTTTTCTTGTGTTGGGGGTTTGGGTTTTTGGCAACCTACTCCTTGTGTTTAGGGAAGGGGAGAAAGTAGTTCAGCTTTTATTGATTGCCTCTCTGGACTTCTAAAAAGGGGACCAAATCTCCTGGACCTCTCATTAAGGAAGGGATATCATGTTTTCAAAAAACACCTTTCCTCTTCCTGCTGAAACCTGAGGAGGTGGCACTGCTTCCTACCCCTTAGCTTAACCTTAATGGCATTATATATGGCATCCCACACCTTCCCCCTGCAGTGAGGAAAATAGGTCTTCTATATCTAAAGAGAGAGTCAAGGGGCTAGGTGTTTTGGCACAGCGGTAAAGCGCTCACCTCTAGGCGCTGGGTTTGATCCTCAGCACCACATAAAAATAAAGGTGTTGTGTCCAATTACAATGAGGACAGGGAGAGAGAGAAGGACAGGAACAATTTTGAGAATGGTTAATAGAGTGGCTTAGTCATTTTTTACAAACATGTCAGTTATCAGGAGTTCATACAGGAGGGTGAAACTTGCTTGAGAATGTTTAGGGGGTACTGCTGCAGTGGATTCTGGGTGATTGGGGTAGGGTTTAGGAGCAGGGTAGGTGCTGCTTAAGAAGTTTTTATAAGGCATTATCTTATAAATAACCATACTTTGAATTTGCCATTGTGGTTCCTTAAATGGTTCCTTACTGGAAAATCACTTAAGAGTTTCCCCTTGCTGGTTACTTTTTCATGCTGCCTGGACTTGGTATTTTTGCAAAGCAAAAGGTTAGCCAGTTGTTGTTGATAGGAATTTTAACCAGGCAGTTACCTTACTCTCAGGTAAGAATAAAGATGCTTTAAAGAAAGAGGAGGCTGGGGTTGTGGTTCAGTGGCAGAGTGCTTGCCTCGCATGTGTGAAGCACTGGATTTAATTCTCAGCACCATCAACTAAAAAATTTTTAAAAAGAGAGAAAGTAACACCAAAACAAAACAAAAAAATGAGGGGAAAAATGACCTTTCTGGTGGAAGAAAGGATTATGCTTCATCACCTCCACATTGTGAACAACTACTCTTTCCCAGTGTGATCCTGCCAGCACTTCCCTGAGGCTCATCAGGTGATACAGTGGTTACTGATGTCATACTGGCAGAAGTGTACATGAGGTTGTGTGGCTGTTGTCAAACATGGCATACCTCTTTTCAGGTGGGACTAAGGGGGTAACCTTGGTGTCAACATGCAAGATCTTGCCCTTAGTGTGTACAGTTCACTTTCCAGGATGCAGACGTCATTTTTGACTTTCATGGGCTTCTTAGAGACATGGTCGATCTCCCTCCATCACCTGCAGCTCACAGTCCAGAGTTGAGTCCTGGACCATGCACCAGAGTCACAGATATTTGAGGGTTTATCACAGACCTGCATAAAATGCTCCTTTTAACCAAGATTCAGCACACATTTATTGTTAAAATAGGGGTCTGTTGGGAAGGCAACTGCACTTGCACAGATTGGGACTCAAAAATGGGTTGAGTTTCCCAGAGGCTTTTTTTTTTTTTTAATTAGTGCATTTTAATTATACAAAATAATGGGTTTCATTGTCTCAGAGTACTCTTGAATTGTTTTTTTTTTTTCCCCAGAGACATTTATGAATACTGGATGTAAAAATAGAAATGAAAAAGATATATGTACCAAAGCCCCTGCATTCTACCATACTTCTTTTACTCCAGAGTTATGCCATTGATTTGCAGTATCTAAAGCTTAGTGTTTCAGACAGTAGACTCTGCAGAGGCTCTGGGAAGAACAAAAAGTGGCAGGGGTTCCATGGGCAAAGGACTTGCAGGGGTAAGGAATCAGTCACCAACATCCATCTGGAGAGACCTACCAATAATTTACCTCTTAGTTCCTTTTAACCCATATTAGGGTCCTTCTATTCCAGTTCACTTACAGCCATGTCCAGGAACACCTCTGCCACTGGAGTAATATAGCCTGACTTTCTTCCCTCTGATCTCACCCTCTGTCCTTCCATTATAGGCCCTCAATTTGTCAGCTTTCCAACTCCCAGTCTTTATTTTTTGCACTTACTCATTTATCTACTAATTTATTTCTTCCCTCTTCAAGGTAGGCCTCAAGATCTCTCAGGCAACCTGCATTTAGCACTGCTCCAAATGGGCCTAATTCAACCCCATTTAATCCTTACTCTCTGGCCAAACCCTTTCTCTCTACCTTTTCCAGGAATGTCTTCCTATAAGTGACTGATTGCTGTTGGATTTAAATCTTATAAATCTACTAGAACCACCCTAAATTCATGATACACACTAGCACTAAATAGAGATAATTCACTCATTCATTCCCCCAAGTTATTATTCTATGCTTAGTTTCAGTTAACAATCCTTATGGAGCTTAGGTCACTGATTCCTTATCCACTCTTCTATACTACTCACATTTTTTTCAAACCTTCTGCACTTTCTTCAAAATGAGGCCATCTCCACTTAGCAGATGTATTGGACTCATAAACCACAAAGGAACTGAAGCCATTCATATGGGATCTTGGCATGAAAAACACTTCACTATCAATTCCTCTTTTCCTCCTTTTTTCCTGTTATATAGAATGTTTTCCTTCCAAGGTCCCAACCTCAAAGGAATTACACTCCCAGAATGTCTTTACTGAGAGCTCAAATCTAGTTTTGACAGATTGTCCCAACCTTGTCAACCATTCTTTTTGGTCTTTCCCTCTCCTTATGAGGCAGTCAACATTTTCTCTTTTAAAAAGATTATTACAAAAATGTTTAAACATATAGGGATGGATTAAACAATAAAACTCCCCATGCACCCTATACTCAACTTTCATAATTATCATTTGACATGTGCGGTGTCCCCCATCTTTTATATTAAGATTAAAAGTCCATCTCTCAGGTGATATGCTATGTAGGCTGTGTCAATCATATTCCCATGATATTTATCATACAAGAAACACATGCAGAACACAGGTATATAGCATTGGCGATTAAAAACAGTGAGCATAATTTGACAATCTGTTCTGCTCTGCCTTTTAACACTGAGGAGTCATTCAATTCCTTCCCCAACTTCATTCAAGAAGTAACCTTACAAAATTCAGTGCACAATATTGTCTTCTTGTAACTACATAGAAAATACAAATGAAAAAAAGAATAGAAGTAGTAAACTGTACATGTGTATGTCAGTCAAATTTGCATATTTGTGATGCAAATACCTAACAGAAAAAATGTAGAGGATAAAAAACTTATTTTGGCCATAGTTCAAGAGGTTTAGTACATGGTCCGCTAAGTTCATGACTCTGGGTATAAGGTGAAGCAGAACATCATGGCAGAAGGATATGGTGGAGGAGGTGGAGGAGCACTGATCCATTGATCCATTCACCCATTCATGGCAGCCAGGAAGGAAGGAAGTAGGGAGGGAGGGGGAAAGCAGGGGAGTAGGGAAGGAGGGTGGGCTGCTGCAGCAAAGGCAAATCCTTGTGGGGCACATCTCCAGTACCTACTTCCTTCAGTCATGCATCTCCTGCCTATAGTTAACACTCAGTCCATTCAAACTAAAATGTTCCAATTAGGTTACAGCTTTCATCATCGAATCATTTCACTTCTAAATATTCCTTCAATAACATAGGAACTTTTTGGGGACAACTAATATCTAAACCATGACAGTGTAGATAAAAACCTGAGATTGTAAACATATAAATTGCTTACAAGAATTTAGAAGAAAATAAATTTTTCCTTTCACATGATTAAAATGAATTATGTTTCTAGTTAACTGTATTATACAGTCAAACAGTTGGGGGACCATCCTTCCCTAAATGCCATTAGAAATAAAGGATTTTATGAAAAAAATAGTTGAACTCATTAATCTTTGGGGAACTATAATTTAAAACCACCAAGATATTACTTCACACACTAGGATGGCTAGAATAAAAAATCAGATAATAAGTGTTTAAGAGAATATGGAGATATTGGAAGACTCATACACTCCTATGGGACTATAAAATTGTGTGGCTGTTTTCCATTTACTCAAAATGTTAAAAACAGAATTGCCATATGACCCAGCAATTCCACTCTTAGGTAAATACATAAGACAAATGAAAACAAATCCATACAGAAACTTGTACACTAATGCTCATAGCAGTATTATTCATAATATTCAAAATGTGAAAACAACCAACATAACCAACCAATGAATGGACAATTGGTGTATGTGCATACAGTAGAATCTAATTTATCCATAAAAGGAATAAAATAATGAAGTAGGCTAAAAAATTAATGAACCTTCAAATCTTTGTTAAATGAAAGAAATCGATTACAAATCACCACATATGATATCAGTCTTATGAAATATCTAGAAAAGGGAAAATATACAAAGATAGAACATAGAGCAGTAGTTGTTTAGGGCTGGGAGAATGAAGGGTAAGAGGAATGCTAACTAAAGTGTACAGAGTTTATTTTGGAAATCACAAAAATATTTTAAAATTCACTTGTGATAGATGCACAACTCTGTAAATACATTACAATCATTGATTATACACTTGAATTTTATGTATGTGAATGTGTTGATTAGCTTTCCATTACTATGACAAAAAACCTGAGAAAATAAGCATAAAGGAGAAAAGACTTACTTTGGCTATGGTTTTAGATGTTTCAGTCCATGGTCACTTGGCCCCATTTCTATGGGCCTTTGGTAAGGCAGAACATCATGATGCAGAGCATGTGGCACAGCAGAACTGCTTGCCTCATAGTGGCCAGAAAGTAGAGAGATGAGGGAAGGGGTCAGGGACAAGATATACCCTGCCAGGGCATGCCTCCAGTGCTTTCCTTCCTCCCACTATGCCCCACCTTCTACAATTTCCAACACCTCCCAATGGTGTATTCAATTATGAACCCATCAATGGATTAATCGACTGATGAGGCCAGAGCCCTTATGACCTAAACACTTCCCAAAAGTTCTACCTCTGATTATTGCTGGCTTAGGGCGACATTACAGATCCATAATATAACAGAATA